TACATTTTTAATTGAGAGAGCTCGTTGGGTGATGTCAAGGGTCGGGCAGTGCATGTCAGTGCGATTTAATTGTCGTGATAAGAGGGCGCGTTTCGCGTGGGAGTCGTCAGAGCACGTCACGCTACGTAATTACGGAGTCTTGCGCACATCCGGACCCCAGGCACACACCCCTTTCTTTTACATCTAGACATTTCGTGTACTAAATATAGCTTCAATGTTAATTAGGTACTTGTGATTTGAAAATGGTAAATTGTCATTTTAATTACAAAAATCAGTAACATGAAGGTCCGTTAGGTGGCAATAAGTACTGCTATAGGATTATGAACAAATTGTGAAGGTGTCGAAGCATGCTTTATTTTTTTTTTTATTTCTGAATTATGTGACTGTTTAGTCACATAATTCAGAAATAAAAAAAATAAGTATAGCCTAAGATAGGTACTAGGTCCGCCTCACATTTTGCATGAAGTTTAAATAAATAAAGTTTACATAAGCATGAACCGTGAATTATGATAGAACACAGTTAAGGGTCTTAGACCTCAGCTCTGCCTTAACGGACGAAGCATCTTATTTTGGTATCTACCTATTTAAATTTAAATTACCTACATCATGAAAACACGAATATTATAATAATAATCCACACTTCCAATGTCTTTGTTGTTTTGTCCACAATACTCTGAGATATTCTAACACGTGTTAATGTCTTACCTCAATCAAACTTTACAAATTTGTTGTTACTGAAGTTATTTCATGTATTCATTCATGTACCTACTTTACGAAATTTGAAAGCTGTTTACACAATATTATCATTGTGGCTGACTCTAGTTACAATCATTCCTCCTGCATTAAATATTTTTCCATTCCATGTATTTTCTAGAATAATAGACACCTTCATACCAAATTGTAGAATTATGTATGGAGCAAAGGTTGCATTTTTCAGAACATCCGATGTTTCTAACACACTTTGCTGGTTTCTACAGTGAAATGTCACGTTTTTGAAACGCAAAGAAGAATAAACAACTTACGTGATGTATAATACCGCACTATATCTGATGAAAAAATAAAAATAGTAACGAACAAGGCATACGCTTACCAACCGCAGTGTAGGTAGATAGACATTCAAAACTAATTCCTAAATTAGTCTAGATTAGTCTAGTGTCTTGATTACATTCAACAATGTGGGTCGTGCAGATGTTAGAGTGGGTGTACCGTGTAATACTATCATTTGGTATCGGGTTAGTGAGCTGACCGGTGGTTTGCGTCGTGGCGAGCACGGAGCCGGTCCGGGCACGGGTGACGGGTCAGTGCGACACAATGAGCGACTTCCTGCGGAGAGCGGACTGACCCGACCAAGCCAACTGAACAAGGACACGCAGCTGACACCAACTCACTTATCCTACGCTCATTATCCAATCTCCCGCCTGCGCTCGCATTCTGAAACACCTAAAACTATCATAGACAGAAATGCCTACATCCAAAACTAAAATACCTCCAATAAATCATTAGTTTAATTTTTTTCTACACTTTAATCATAACTGACGAAAAGTAATAAATGACCACAAAATATACTACCAAACTGCACATGATGGTCCCCATTGAGATGTAGAAGAGGTGAAACGCTCGTGTGGCCGCGATTAACCTCGTGCCAATTACGCGGCCATTAGCGCTTCGAGCACAATACGCCTCCATTCAGCGGATGTCCACTATACCAGCATCGGCTGTAGGCACCGCCCAATTTGCATTTGTTTGGAATTAGAACGTCGAAGCACATCCGCGGCTCGCTTTATGTCACCTGTAACTATACCAAGCACCGACCCTGCCCCCACATAATACACAGAGCCGTTTTAATTCTCTAGTATGGACGTACATGTAAGCGGTTAACCTAATCGTTTCTATTGTTACGGATTCCGCTATACATAAAGCAGACTGACCGTTTGCACATACATATACTACGCGTAAATAGGACAGCATATCACAAAGGAAGAACGACAATAGCGTGGGAATGATCAAAAGTTGCGTTATAACTGATGACCTCTGAAGACAATATCAATTATGTGGTGCGGTGTTTAGACCTTGGTTAATTTAAACTAACAGTCATAAAAATCCATCATTGTTCATGTGCTTTCTTACTCCAGTATACATTACCTACACCGGTGATAATTTCACCAGTAGTTTCTCCTTTATTACTGATATTTCCATGACATTATTTAGTAACGGCACTATAAGTAATATAAAATTGCTTATTTGAAGAATAATTAAGTCATTTTTTTATAAGAACCTAAGTTAAAACAAATTTATCCGACTTCAAAATAGACATCTAATTGATTGAGCTCATTGGTTTTCTTACTATAACGATGTAATCCAAATGTCTTTGTAACAAATTACACAACTGCCATTACCATACTATAAGTTCTGTGATCACGCAACTTATGTTATGCGCATATAATAAAAGAGGAACACACGCGGTCCCAAATAGTCTAATTTTATCAGACAACGCTGACGTGCTCGAGATGAATTTAGAAAACTCAAGTGGATTACACGCATAAGTTCCAGATTCATAGCTGCATTCAATCACGTATTTTTTTCATTCCCGCGTTTATCTTCGAGTCATTATTAATAAGAACGAAGCGGTAGAATAGACAGGATATGGTAATGACAAATGACGTTCTCTGCTTATCTGAAACGGACTATGTAGAAAAGATGTGGCGGTTTTCCCGGCGAGTAAGATGTCGGGCGATGTCGTTAGCGAAGCTCCATCTAACAGATATCGCCGCGCTACCCTTCTTGGCTCACCGCTCACAGAATACCGGAGATAACTATTTTCGCCTTATCGAAGATATTGCAAACTGCACAACTTTAGAAGTGTTTATTTTGTAGTTACATGGAGTACTCACAATAACACTATCGGTTCTCGTTTATCGCTAGGCCGATTTATTTGAATAACTGATTTTTTTTGGCAAATTCAACTTACACGGTGAAACTGACACAATCAAAAAAGTTGGCAGCATTAGGTTTTTATATGTATGTGTAGTTTTGGCATAAATAATGATTCGCAAATAGTTCCTGGTCCCGTTCTTCCACACAATAGCAGGAGATAGCGCGTCGTCTTAGGTGAAATATATTGTCTCCGGCTTGCAACGAGTACGTACTGCTCACCCACACTAACATCACTGATATGCAAATAGGCGCCGCCAAGATCGTAAACCCTTTTAGATCAGATAAAGTATTTCGGAACTAAAATACACAAAGTTAACGTGACTGCATTAAATTTACCTAAGTATTCAGAATTTTCTTTGGTATGCTTACTTTACATAAGAATCCAAAAAAGAAAGGAATGTTTATGTTTAGGAATCGGTTGTATTTGCAAGTTAGGGTACATTTTATCATAATGTTGAATAGCTTTGGTTGTGACAAATGTTTGCGATAACCCACCGCGGCGTCCCCGGCGCGCCGCGCGCTCCCACTACCTGCTCTGCCTATCAGCCATCTTGGACCTCTTCTAGCTTATCTTCCGTAATATGTTATTCAGGAGAAAGTCGGACGTTACGTAGCCATAGGCCAATATCGATTGCTCCTTAAGAACTATTACATTAGCTATATCAATGCATGCTTTTAGTATTTCTCTTTATGAGTAATGTGCACTGTGGTCAAGCCATGAACGAGAGTTTCACAATCTTTTATTTAATAAAATTGTTTGAGATTTTACAACAGTGATCAGTTATTAATTTACGTGCCTGGAAACGTAGATATATGATATTATGATGGACGGATATTGCACTTATCCTTTCCTGGTACACAGTCTCTGTACATTTGACGGGTGGCTGTGGCTGCATTACCGCAGGTACTGGCCCAGGTAGCACCTGACACGTACAAATATTCCCACAACAAACGTGCGACGTCCTGTGGCTATGCCTCAATTGCTCCATTATATTCAATCTTTTTGAAAACATCTTTATTCCAACAAATGATCCCAGTGTTTCTCGACTAACATTAATCACTTTAACGATTTTAAGAACATTGACAATAAGTCAATTTATTCTGAGATTTGTTTTCCCATCCACTGTTATATAGGTGTACTTGACTCATTGAAAATGGCTTTATGGTATTCTATTAACTTTAAGATATTAAACCTCTTTTGAAAGTTCACCCATAAATCATTTTAGATAAAAAGAAAATGAATTCGCTTACTGTGAACATCGTTGATTTACTTTATGTTTTAAAAGTTACCTAATATGATTTGCTAACGATAGCCAGTTCTTCCTTTCATGAGGTAATTGAAAAGTTTTTGAAATCAAAACTCAGTTATACATCCTAACTTGCTTCTTTGGTCAAAACAAATGGTCATAAATATTGGGACAAAGGTTTTATGTTGCGAGGGAGAATTGTAGTCGCGGCCATTTTTTCAACCGCTCTACGGTCTCTACCTGGATCACAGCGAGGGGTGAGCGAAACGCATAATATACCAAGACTGCCACATGTGTCTTCTCGTAACTTTAAATCATAATATTAATAATAATACCATTAACTTAAGCTCACTTTAATAAAATACGGCTACTTGCGTATGGGATCTTCTGCGTAATTAAAATTAAATATTTCTTATTTTCCACAGATAAATATTTAATTAGTTTCAGTAAATTTTCTGGTTTGTTTTACTTGCACCTGCTTCGTATTCATTCCTGGTAAAAACTGAATTCAAACAAATTACTTACATCTTACCTAATTTTGAAACATAATAATTTTTGATGTAGGCAAATTCGAGCATAGGTACATAATAAGCATTACAAAGCTTAGGTACGAGAAAAGCCAGTTACTCACTAATGCAACCCTCCTAATTTTTTATTCGATGAACTACGTTTCTATTTTATGGCCCCTCATTTAGAAGCGTCAACACAAAACCAAAAAAAATTGTAGAGAACTGGCAACGTATCGGGATGAAACGTGGCATCGGCGCAGCGCACGCGCATGTTCGTTAAGAAGTAGAGAAGCCCGTCGTGCAAGTTCGGGGAGCGAGATAGTGGGGCGCCTCTGTCGCACCCGCAGTGCCCCTACCGAGTGCGACGCGAGAGCACGTTGTAGCGTAACTCTACGCGCTGGCTTCGTCAACGCGCCCGCTGTAAACACACTTCTGTTACACTCTCTACAAACCGGTTGCTACCTTTGTGATCTCGAGTGCTGCATCTGTGATTTTTCGTGAGCGTTGTGGTTTATCTGACTGTAAGTCAGCCTGATTTATTAGTGTTGTGCAAATTAACGCAGTGCTGGAATATTATTACTTTAAAAATGCGATGATCTGTGATTACAAAAAGGACCAACATTGGATTACAAAACTTGGAATATAAAAAATTGGTAAGTGTTCAGTACCGTAAAACTTCATAAAACTTAAAGAATTATGCAGCTATAAGTAACGGGCCTGAGCCCACAGCGTTGCGGAGGCGGTACAAACAAAACCCATAGGATAGGGGAGCGAAGGAGAGAGCACGCTTTGTTGACACAGGGCAAGCGACTAGCGAGCGGGCCGGCTCTACCGAACGGCTCGACAACTCAACTAGACACTCAACGCCAACAGTGTAAATTGTACACTCAAAAGCGCACTGTTATGTCCTCTTTTGTTACTTACTGTTCTCATTTGGAAAGTCTTGCTGATACTCGCTAATTTCGAAACTGAAGCAATTAGACCTATTACTGACCTAATGAAGCAAGGTATCATTTTGTGCGAACCAAAGCTATTTTACTCTTAGTTTATTTAGCAAATTGTTTATTCTGTAACGTGCGACGTATAAAAAGTAACACAAAGATATCATATCAATTAAAGTACAATGTACAGCATGAGTAATTAGACGATAAGAAAATGTTATTTTTTTGTCTTAGAACTTTACAAAAGAGCCCAAGCAGCATTTCGACAATAAAGCAAATAGAAACCAACGACAGAATTTGTAAAGTTGTACTTCAATTCAAATCCAAAACTAAGGGAAAGGTCTATTGTCCCGACAAACAGTTCAAAGACAATTACATAAGTAGACTGTAGTAGAACAAAATGTTTCTGTTTTATTTGAAGTTTTTTAAATCAATCATCATGTCATTTATCCTTGTTTTCTGATTAAATAGATTTTGCCCAGAGTTCAATCTCAAGTCCCATGTCGAACATCATATAATAATTATCATCTTTGCTCAAACTATTATTATAACAGCATTGGCTTTAAATAAATGTTATTGACCTATCTAATTATAAATTGTAAGTCATAATATAAGATTCCTTAGCGTCTGATTCACAAATAGCAACAGTAATTACTCTAGTTTACAACAGTAATGAATGAAATACATTATCAACATCCTGCGTAATTGCTTGCGCGTTATGTGTCATGCGTATGATAGTAAAATGTGCCAGCAGATGCGCTGGAGTACACCGAATATTAAACCAATTGTAACTGGGGCCAATGGGTCAATGCAACGCTCAAGGCGTAACCCGTATGTACCGAAATGTGTTTACTCTCCATACATACCTAGTGCCGACATTTAACATTTGTAACCTCCATGTAACCTGTAATAAAACTGATTTAAGTTTCGACTTTCAAAACTTTTTAAAGCGCTTATTAGGTCTTTTAGCGAGGGTGTTTCAACTTTTTGTATACCAACGCTCAAATTAAAAATACTACTGAAAATATAAAGTTAAAACGCTCTATCTTTTACGATAGTCTAAACAATTTCACATTTCGTTGATTAGAAAAGGTAGACATAGCTACAAATTGTCACTTATGCTGGTAGCCTAATGTTAAAACATTGCAAACACATTACTTAAAACTGGATACTAATCGAAACTTAATATTTGAAACACTTAAGGACTATAACTAATCTACACAGTCATTGAAACACTTACTACTTCCTTTATTGCTTAGATGTATAATTTCTCTTTTTAGGTACGTTAACATTTAAATGTGAGCCATGAACCTCCTAATAATCGATTTGTCGCAGCTAAATAGTCGAATTAGCCATCCAACTCCAACAAACAGCCTGAATGACTAGTTATTTCATCATCAAATGACTTCTCCCGCCCAGGGTATGGCGAGAAGGAGTGTCAGACTCTTACTAAACCCGTTCCTTCTCCTGCTTTAGGCTGTGGCATCTTCTCCGCTTCTTCTCATTCAGTCTGTACGTTGAATGGTGATGGGATTGTCGTCGTGAAAACCGAATAGCCGCCAAAATATAGGTTAGATTAGAACTGTGAACTGCAGAAAAAATTATTCGCCATTGCAAATAAACAGCTACGATCAAAGGGCTAGCTAATTGTATCAACTGTTATTTTAACTAGTAGGGATCGACAAATAAATACATAAGCAAATAATAGGATATACTCAGTTTGCAACTCGATAGTATAATTATGTATACAGATCCTGTTTACCGCTTCAGTGGATTTGTCAAAATACAAAATTATTAGCTGTAACAGCCTGAAAATAGTTGGTTTATTAAAGTTCATTTACAAGTTAATTTGTTTTACATATGTATGCAGATGTATCGGTGAAACCTATTGTCATTGTTTAATAATTTTTAGATCAATAACCTACTGTTTACTATGCTGGATAAATTATTATTATTATTTGTTGAATTCTGTAGTCACATTGAAACTTTGCACGTAATTGAACTATTTATTTATCTGAATAATGCTATACAAAACTAATAACATAACACTATTAAATAATAGAAAGAGAACAAAAACAGAATGCTTTCATTAAAACTAAATAATGTCAATATTTTTTTGATGGACACGTGGTCTTAGGTATTCGCATTATATAATTAGTTTTCTATCTTAAATACTTAGATAATGTCAGTAATGTGTATATCCATTAATAACGACAGTCATTGATGGTAATGTGGGTAGAAACTCATCGGTGAATCAGTCATGACTAAAATATTTTATAGTATAAACCATAATGAAGTACGCGCGTTCATATCATCACGTACCTACACGCCAGCAAATAACATACCTACTACATAACCACATCGCACTTTATTTATTTATAACACACACATACAGTACACAAGACAACACATTTATAAAATTGAAGTACATTTGTATAGGTGCAACATATTCCGATTGGAATTTCTTCCCGCAGATCTATGACAGGAAAAGTAATTAAAATACACGACACTTTAATATCCCTAAGGTATAACCTTAAAGGAAAACCATACCTATATTTATAACATCGTGCGTCATTGGATATTTTATTAAATATGTTTTGTCAAGCTTTGCATAGAAAGGCTAACTTTCCTTTTACAGTAATTCCTCAAACACATAATATGTCACAATAATTGAGTCTGTAAGCACAAAAGGGTCAATTTCGTTTGCATTTCTACGTGGTTATCTAGTAATAATGAATAAATAGGAGTAAGTTGGTAACCCAACGTCTGAAGGCGCCATTAAGGAAGCCATTTCGTTCTAACACCTTACATTACACGGGCCACGAGCCGGGACACCTAACCTATCTAAAATAAGCGACCGATAAAGTACATAACTGCTCTACCTTCATGCCGACCATATTAAACCTTCTTGCAGGATACGTTGCGATAAAAATCTACTTAACCAAAACTACTTTGGATAAAATCGGTAGTTTTAATATTTTTCACTTAACACGAACAAGGAGAAAAATAATGCACCTTTTATTTAAACAAATCCAGGAATTCTGTAGAAAACAACTTAAATTAATTAAGTTCATATTTAAAGCTATCGATTTACATATATTACGTGCAATAAAACCTCCACAAATAAACAGTTATTGTGGCAAAGCTCGTTTAAACCCCAAGAATGGCTTAAAACTAGTTTCAAGTCAGATTGATTGAAAACCAGCTTTAAGTAAGCTACACTCCAAAGTCCAATCTTGGATAAGATTGAACCTATACAATGTATACAGTGTATATTACGTTGTTGCACTTATACTACTCAGTTGGTTATTCAGTTCTAACACAATGATGTGGAATTTATTATAAACATTAACGTACTACGATTACACTATGGTCTTCCCTGCATAAAAAAAAATAAAAGATCAAACCATTTATTTGAGACCGACCACTAAATACACTTTTGAACGTCAAAAAAAAACATACAGTTCCAACTTCAAACTGTTGTCAGAATCTCCACACTTAGCAAGAAGCTTGTATATCACAGTTTGAAAGTTCGGGTTTATACAAAATGTGTATTTGCCCTTTAGGTAAGTGTATGAGGATACGAGTTTCGGTGGAAAGGCAGGAGCGCTGACAAATTTATTTCAGTTCGCCACCAAACTAAGGAACTTTATTATGTAAACTCAATATAAATATTTAAAGACGGACATTGAAATACCGGAAAACCATTAACAACAATGACTAATTAGTTGGTTCAATGTGTCATATCGTCACGTGTTATTCTTGACCATATAAAACCTATCGATTGTTTACTTAAGAATGGCCGTCCAGGTGTCAGACAATGTATCACCCATTCTTGTTCCATCACAACACAGTATAAAACAATGTCCCTTTATCGCTATATACGCTTAAATCTTTAAATCTACACAAGGGATTTTGATGCATTTTTTAATAGGGTGATTAAAGAGAAAGGTTTAGTATGTATAATAACTTCCATAAAATAGTATAGACATTTTGTGACAGCATTGCACCCGAACGAAACCAAAGCGGGTTGCTAGTTAAACCTAAATTCCGTGTGTAAAACTCGTAAACAATTTGTAACATCTAATTATTTTAGAAACGGTTCTCATAGATAACATATCACAAGCAAGTTTCAGATATGATAAGTACATACGTATGTATGTACTGTTAATCGGAGCTGCCGCAATAATGAAAACAAGTGAACGAACGCTAATTAGCAGAAATTATGTATTTATCGCCACTCACCGAAATAATAAGTAAATAGAGTTTATATTCTAACATTTTTAAAGATAGTCGTTAGGCGATAATGACCATATTATTTATACATTTTAAAACAAAAGATATTTTACTACCCGAAAATTTTTTTCAAACAATATTTTAATATAATCCAATTTATCAGTTCGATTCGATATAAACATGATCACATTTCAGTCAAAACCTAATTTGGAAACCCATAATCAGATCAAAATTAACCATTATTAATTCTTAATATACCTACGTAAGTCAACAAATATTAATATGTTTTATATTATAATACGAATAAATTGAAGTTAAATTCAAACAAAGGCAATGTAAACAGTTACCATTTTAATATAAAATCCCTCACATGTATGTAATAAAGCCACATAATTAAATCTGGTTGTTTCTGATTAAAAATTTGTTGGTGAGAGAATTCAGCCATTTTGTAACATTTAATATTTGACATCCCAGAGTTCATTGCATTATTATTTCTATCCAATTTACCCTATGAATAGATATTTATGCTAGAGGCCTAATTAAAATGTCCAAAGGAAGACAGTAATGCAAAACTCATAAAACTTAAAACATTAATGAAAATCCTTGAGGCGAAAACATAAAAGTTCATAAGGAAATTAATACAAACCTCTTAAGTTTTTCATGTATGTATCTTGGGAACTCACATTATTAAATTAGAAAAGTATGCTTCCAATGCTAAATATGTAACGTAAAGCAAATACACGCGTAGTGTAAACGAACAAGTTTATGATCTTACGAACGAAGAGAAATATGAAAGTCTTAATAAATTCTAACTAAGACAAATATTTAATCGACCATTACTAATTACAAAAACGGTAAATATAATCTAGATTTCCGTAACATGTTCGTTCCAAGCCTTAGTTCTGAAATAGTCACTCGTTTACCTAACACGTTTTTAATTAAAACTCTTTCCTTGTCCCTGCTTGAGTCAGACAAATGTAGAAACTGTTTTATCTTAATTGAAAGCTTCGGAATTGAGCTAGATCCTCATGTTACATAAGTATGGCTTCAAACTTTAAATGGTTTTGGACATTAGAAACATTATCCTAATCCCGACGCGTATTGTCTCACTCACGATGCTCTAAAAAGTAGCGTCCGTAGTGATCAATAATATGTTTTAAAGAATAAATTGCTGCCAAAACTGGCTTTGCCGAAGGATACTCTATAGAGGCGAACGTTAAACCACCCTGATCCATCGAATGGTTATTTATTACAAGTGACTGGAAAGAACCGCAGTTTCCTGAGCCGCGTGGGACCGAGTAAGTCTTCAGCACATCGCGGTCGCATCTCGAGGCTCAAGTGTCAACCGGCTCTACGCAAATGCAAGCTTTATCTTGTTTACCGCATATTGAGCCGGCCGTAATCTGCCTGAGACTCTGCATGTCAATAAAGTATTACAAGAGAAAATAATATTATACACGACGGCGACGCACACGTATAGCTGGGTTGCTTCATAAATTGAACACTAACGAGAAATACACATGAGAGTTGACCGCGGCACCTCGCTTGCAGCGTTGCAAACTAGTCCTACTTACTGTTTATTCTGTAAAATATGCATTCGAAACCTATTTTACATTTTTATTATATTTCTTATTTCATATTCGATGTCAGGTACAGATAATATAAGTTATTTCAATATTTCACTGTTACCTATGTGTATTTTGACTTCGTACTTTACTAAGGAACCAGTATACAGACTGTAATATTAAAACGCTCTAACATGAACATTTATAACTAGCTTAGCCTCCGTGCCGGTAATCGCTCATTTGTTTACTCCGGTAATTGTTCCGGTACACTCACTCGCCATTCGGCGCACATAAACTGTGTGTTCGAAGTACATCGTGTCGTTGGAGCAGAATTTACGCAAACCAGTTTAAATAGTAGACATCAGTGAACATTTGTTCACAAAACAGTATCGCGGCGGTGTAACACACTAATGAAAATATCAAATGCATGCGTCGCATCACAACGCCGTGGCGTAATGCACTCACTCAAACCTCCATGTATTGTATTGTATGCAGCACATCTGTGCGGGTTTACGCGCAACATGTTACATCAATTCTCAACCCTTTCCAATACATTGTTCGTTGTTACCCAACGGAGAACATCTGATATTTAATTACGCGTAAGCGTTAAATTCAATGCATCATTATTATATTGTGTGTCAAGTTACATTAGCAGTAAAATTATAGCTGAATGTATAGTATTATATTACAGTCGGATCAACATTTAAAATAGATTATAATAAATAAAGATTATAGCCTCATTCAGAATCATAATATCTTTAAAATAATGTGATGCGTAACAATTAAATATTTATAAGGTAGATCAAAATTATCCGGTTTATGAAGGTGATTCACTGTAGGTAATATCTGTGGACATAAAAAATGGAACGCCTTCAATAAACTGTATCGAGCGAAGCGTAAAAGGTGGATTAAAAATAAGACATCGTAACGAGTGAACGGTGGAAGCTGACCACGGCTGGGGCGAGACGAGTCTTGTTTCTCACGATCGGCAATGATAGTTAAAAAAATGTAAAAAATAGTATGCGAATCCTGAGCAACGAGTGCGTGTGCGGATGCATGCTGCGTGCGTCAAGACATCGTCCCGTGTGACCGAGAACCAGACCAGCCACTAGATACATGTACACTGAACGACACACACACTCTACATTTATCATTTACATTATTTTTTATCTTCATGGCCAATAAAACGATTAGCACCAGAAGAAATAAAAAAGTCTAACATTCACATCACATAAATTTACTTGTGTACACTTGAGTACATTTATTGAGATAAATATTTTCAATTTATTTAATGGTCCGAGACTGACAGTTTTTCATTATGCAACCACGCACACTATAAAGGTAAAGAACCGAGAGATTAACACAACTTTAACTGCTAATGTTATGAAACATGATAATGTTAGTTATGTAACACTTAAACGTACACACACACACACACTTCTATAGATTTTGATAATGTAAAATTGACTTAGATACCAAATATTGGAAATATAATTACACTAATATTGAAAATTTATATTTTTTTTTCCTAAAATATTATTTTCTATTGTTCTAGGGTACCAGAAGAACGGAAAGATGGCGCGTATAGAGAGGAGATATTAAGTAAAAATGGCCGTCGCGCGCGCGGTCCTTGTCCTCCTAGCATCCACGGCTCAAGCCTGGATGCCGGATGCCAACGCACGCATACATATCAAATATGGTAAGATATCTATTAAATAAACAAAATTTACAATAAGCCAGAACAGAGTGTCTTACCTATTCTGAAGAGAAACGATGAAAATGGATAGCCAATAACATTGAGGCAAACAACTTTTCATTATAAATAACAAGTTTCAAGTCCTGTAAAACCACACAAACAATAGAAACGGTACATTTATAAGATTCATGTGAAACTTATTGTTTATATAATGATTTAATTATAAATAGGTGGTAAAGTTTTATAATACATCTTATACCTACCAAGACAGGTGCAAGAAACTTCTTGGGATTTCGGTGTATTATAGTGACATGTGAGAATTTCCCAACCAATTGTTATGAAATCGCAAACGTTCATTGTTGTTTAATCGCTCTACAATGGGAACATTGTTCGTTTGATCTTTGCAAAAAATATTTTCAATATGCACATTCAATTCGGTAACAAAAGCATGTACAAGATTCTTATAACTTACCGGATTATATTGATTTTCTATGCTTTATTTAAGTATTGCTTGGCGTGAAACTAGACAAATCCAGTTTTTTTCACCCTGGAAGTAAAACCATATTAGACCGTTCATCAAAAAATCCAATATATGTCTGTCAGATTACCTTCTGAACTTCAAACTTTGAGATTTAAAATAGTTATATGAGCAATATTAAATTCATCAAAGCAATTTACCTTCACAAGTAACAACAGCGTCTTAGAGCTGAAATGTCTGTGCGAGGGATCTTTTTGAATAATTCACCGGCTTTAGGAGCATCTGCTGTCTTATAGTGTCGTGTTTCTTAGTCTTTCGTGTAAATCAAAGTGTGGCTACTTCTGTTTTCTATATACCGTTTGTATAATGTGTGTCTAAAGTTAATGGATATTTTTTATTCTAGGTGATGAAACTTCAGAGCAGTTCGTAGGCAACGCGACAGCACCGGACCATTTCCGCATATTAGACAAAGATGACTTCTCAATTATAGTCGGCGGCAGGTAATTATATTTTTTATATACCGTATTTGAAATTATTATTAAATGTTTCCAATATATTGTCCACATCACCCCATAACTTTGGATTATGCAAATTACCACAAGTCCATAATTGCCTCATCGGATTAAAATTTACATATTTAACTGTTATTAATTTCACCTGTTTGAATACTATATTTATCTTCATTTTTTTTTTAATTCTCAGGAACACAGTGTACAACCTAAGCCTTTACGACCTATCAGAAAATGTGGAACAGGTAAGCATCTATTTTATTTATATAATAATTTAATATTTACTTGATCTGCTACCAGTCATCTAACGTTATTTTCAAAGAAGCTCAAGTTGGAGCGTAAAATATCTGATAACTACTGAAAGCATAAGTCGTGATTGGAATAAATAGCACAAAACGACGATACAAGCGTATTTACTCACCACTTGGCAAAGAGTTTTATCTTGTAATAGATTAAAAATCGGGTCTTCCCGATAAGCACTATCTCCAGAACAGTAACCAGACAGTCTAGATTGATATCGCTATGGATTTGGCAAAATTAAACGGGTTGCAATAGCAACTCGGTCAGTGTACGAACAACTAACGAAAACCTTAATAGGTATCGCACTCCACTTCAGGTTTATACATCTAATCTTGCGCAAACAAGTATAGTAGGTATTCTACTGGTGCACTCTCTGTTTATTCTTAGTTACGTTACGACCCATTTCGCGTAGAAAACTGTTTATTTTCTAAATCGTATAAGATTTTATATAGTGTAACGTGCGCTAGTGCCGACTTACATTTTACACGGCAAATTCTTTTTGAGACAAATATACTTACATGAACCTTACTTTAAGTAGGTTTACTTTATTAACACATCGCGAACTAATTTAAACATCTTGAGAAACGAAACGAACGTTCAAGATTTTGAGAACGTTATTGAAACAAGTGGCAAATCAATATGAATGATAATATTTTGTCATCCAAGCGTGCAAAGTACAAAAACAAATATTTAGATGATTTACATAAAATAATATTAGCCAGTGTAGGTAGTATACGTTATTCGAAGTTCCGATTGACGGCACCACGCGTTGTGAGAAATAAAAATACGAAACTACATGGACGAACGGACGTAGGGTGAAAGATTGTTTGGCAGACGGCCAAAAATTACTAACGTTTCACTCATGAAAAACAGTCCTGTGTTTATGTGCATGATTTTATGACGGCACATCAGACATCCGTTCAATGCCCTTACAGAGATAAATAGAAATCAGGGACAGTGACGCACAGATGATAAGCAAAACAAACAATAAACTTGATCCTTTCTCTAAAATATTCTCTAGCGCCTGTAGGTCAACAGAAATACAGGTACACATAAAAATTAGACGAGTTGAATCCAAACCAACAAATGCGAAAGAAATATTAAGAGATTTAAGAGCATATTGTCCTAATAGATATAAAGAAGATCAGAATAATTGTTCTATTGATTCGTTCTTAATTCAAGTCTTTGTCCTTAAGGAAAAAACTTATATAAAAAGTAAAAATCTTTACATTGAAAGTTTCAACTTAAATGCGATGTTCGATGTTTAAATTACTCGTCACATATTAGAACCAGCCAGTGCGGTGATGCGTTGAATTATTCACGGCCCGCGGCACAGGGCGGCCAGTCCACCTCGCCCGAATACTAATCATTTATATACACGGTTACTTTCCTTTAACCTAAGCAACTTATCTTTTTATACAGCCTATAGATTCACACTTTATATCTATTGTAAGTTATTGAAAAACGTAGGTAACCTTCAACTGGTAGGAAATTCATTTACGAACATTTAGGTAGATGGGTACTTGATTACTACACAGTAAAGAATATAATCTATAAGTAGGTAATTGTTTTTTTTTGTGTAAAAAAATTGATAGATAACAATTAAGGATATCAACGTCATATCTAGCGACGAAGATAACACACCCATTTGATAAAAAATGTAATACACATTTTATATTTTTAACTATTACGTACTGGTAGACTTTAAGTTTGTATGGACCCCTCCGGTATCATCTGGAATAAATATATTTTATAATAACTGAGTCACAGAGAGTGATAGAGGCAAAAATATCGCCTAAAAGTGTGTTTGTAATAGTAAAAAGCGCTAAAACGTTTGAATAGTAGCATCAGCATACACAAAAGTGCAAAACGGCTGATTTAGGGTACTAATTTTATTTATTCATAAAAATAAGGCAACAGGAATCTTAATGAGACTAATTTCGAATCATATTAATAAACCAAATTCAAACAGATTACGCACGAGACAGCCAGACTCGTATATAAATAGTGCAGACACGGCGCAACGTCGGTTTGCTAACGCAGGCCGGCTGTGGCCATCAAATTACAAACGCGCTCGACTGAAAGCGGAATATTTGGCTGCGATTATATTACGAAATTCCAACCGTTTCAACGACTAAAATGTTAGAAATTATTTTAATTTTTAATCAAATCATGGTTTAATCTAAAATATATTTGCTCACAGCGTTTGGAGTGGCAATCGACAGACGCACACAGAGAATTATGCCAATTAAAGGGCAAATCTGCCGATGAATGCCAGAATTATCCACGAGTAGCGGCTCGTTCACACGGCCGCCTCCTAGTCTGCGGCACCAACGCATTCAAACCATTATGCCGACGATACGCGAGGAACCCACCGAACCATCATCTAGAAGAGATCGATGGATCAGGCCGTTGTCCTTACGATCCACAACATAATTCTACTGCAATTTTTGTTGGTAAGTTTACTAATATAACTACTGCTTAGCACACAAATATTTTGTGTGTGTATTTATTTGTTTGAACAAAGGTGAAACTAAAACTTGCAAGAATATAACTACAGGATACTTTGTTTTCAGATGGTCAATTATATACCGCTACAGCAGCCGACTTCTCTGGAACCGATCCTCTGATCTATCGCGAACCTGTACGAACTGAGCGCTCCGACCTTCGTTTGCTCAACGATCCTTCATTTGTGGGGGCTGTGGCTTCTACTAGTCATGTCTATTTCTTCTATCGTGAAACTGCTGTGGAATTTATGAACTGTGGAAAGGTCAAACATTATTTCATTTTATCGCATGCTATATTAAATCCACATTTATTTTAATTTGTAATCCTTTATTTGACGTAGCGAAATTTTTGATTACAGGCGGTATATTCAAGAGTAGCAAGAATTTGCTTAAACGATAAAGGAGGACCTCATACTTTCAGCGACCGCTGGACATCGTTCCTAAAAACTCGACTTAACTGTTCCATGCCTGGAGAATATCCCTTCTATTTCGATGAAATACGTAAGTATTTCATATGTTAAATAAAATTTTACCAGAAATACACAATGTATACTTAAGTGGATCAAATGTTAAAATTAAATTCTTATTTCAGAGGCTACTACAGAATTAATAAATGGAATATATGGTAAAAGCAGCAGCAAAAATGATATCATATACGCAGTTTTCACAACACCACAAAATGCTATTGGAGGTTCAGCTGTTTGTGCTTTTGCAATGAGAGATATCATTGACGCGTTTGAAGGACCATTCAAAGGCCAAGAAAGTATGAACTCCAACTGGCTACCTTTAGAAAAAGAAAAACTACCAGAGAACAGACCTGGATCATGTGTTGAAGACAGCAGAACGCTTTCTGACTCAGCTGTAAATTTCATTAAAACACACCCACTTATGGATAAAGCTGTCCCATCATTCTTAGCTCGGCCAGTTCTCATTAGAGTTAGTCTACAATACAGATTTTCAGCTATTGCAGTTCATCCCCAAGTTCAAGCGATGAACGGAAACAAGTACGACGTCATGTACATTGGTACCGACGACGGAAGAGTTATCAAAGCTGTCAATGTAGCAGCTAACGAGGGCGACTTTGATGCCAGTGTAGACGAATACAGTAGGAACCCCGTAAGAACCGCTGTGATTTCTGAAGTCCAAGTATTACCTCAAGGCGTGCCTATCAAACAAATGCACGTCGCCTTAACCACAGAAAAATTAATAGTTGCCTCCGGCGATATTATTAGGGCAGTGACATTATCTCACTGCGGAAACGTACAATCATGCAGGTAAACTATAACACTTTTTATCTTTTCTTACTCTCAAAATAATTTTCTATCCTGTTACAAATAATAACAAAACTAATGACATTTACTTTGATTTCAGGGAGTGCGTTGCGTTACAGGATCCCCACTGTGCGTGGGATTCCAAGCAGCAAGTTTGTTCTTGGGTTGGAAACCGGCAATTTCCTAACCCCGAGAGGTTTCTACAAAATGTAGAATATGGAAAGACTGATATATGTAATAAGTTGCCAGCCCTCTTGCCGGGTGATAGACATAGCAATAGAAATCCGGGCACTAAGAAGCCCACGCAATCAGAATCTGATATGCGACAAAAAACTGATGACATCCAAAACGAAATACTAATAGAAGTTGTGGAGACAAACGTGTTATCCGAAGATAAAACTACTAATAACAACAAACATGAGACAGGTAATATGACTGCTAAAATGTAAAAAAAATAATTGTACCTATACAACATTTCTATGACGAAGTAAACAATTAATTCTACGTTTATGTGTATCTTAATTTACATGTATTTAAATTCCACAGACTTGCTGACTGTGGAGGCCGCTGACGGTAACATTTACAGCGCACAAGCTTTGCTAACTGCCGTCGTAGCGTCCTGTCTCGTTACGCTAATGGTCGGATTCGTTATTGGGTATCTTTTCTCACGGCGATTTCGACACCCGTTTTTTACCGATACCTCACCCTTCAATGAACAACACAATCATTTGAACAGGTAAATACTTATACTATTTATAAAATAATCTTACATTTTATAAATGTTTAATTAGCTCCTATAGTTCGCCTGACTGACATTACAGTTTTTCTTTACAGGCGAGTTTTTATGATTTCCAGAAGTGAGTCATACTTGTAATCCGCAAATGGTCGCTGAAAGTTTTATCACATTAAAGCCCTTGCACTAGTTACTCTTTTCGTTGACCTTGTACAGATCCGACTTGCTTAGTCACAAATCGTTTTTGCACAACACATGTATCATAACATACAAACAAACCTTAATGAGAAACATGCTAATGATATAAACACATTAGCATATCACTGTATACAAAAACACAAGAGACTTTTATAGGTTTATGTTATTTAGTAGGATTATAAATAGAAATATCAAATTAACATACATAAATCTTTAACTAATGAATGCATCTGTTTCAGATTGAGCCCGTTAGAAACACCGTTAAATGCCAACACTGCGTATATGCCACGATCTAAAAACGTGAACATGGTGGCGAACGTATGTCCGAAACAGGACAACCTACACATGGAGCTGGGCAAAGAGCGCACACTTGACCTGCGGAACTCCACCGAATCCTTAGACAAGGATCTAAAGTGCGGCACCTTACAAAAGGTTAAAAAGACTTACATTTGAAAATTACCTAAACAGACTGTGTATGGATCCATTGCGAAGTGACTGAGACGACAGTGTCGTGTCGCGTGTGCCAAGTCTTCCGAAAACGTTCGGCTAAGACAGTGTTTTAATGTGATTGACTCAGTGTTTACTATGATTTGTGTACATAACATGTCTCGTCTCCTTCCTGTGTACAGTCTAGGTACTGGTTATTCCTTAAATATAATGTTGTTATTTACTCGAGTATAGTGAATATTGCATTTAAAAGTTGACAAGTATCAGAAGGACTGTAAACATTTAGGAACTATATGTTTTTAAATCTATTGTCACTGACCGTGTAATTGTTGTTTCTAGATGAAATCATTAAATGATGTTGAACATAAAATGGTAAGAAATCGTTGCGTATATCATAAAAGTTAAAGGACAACAATAAATCAGACTGATATGACTCATTTATTATACACCGATTGTAAATATTCGGCTCTAGTGTTAGTTAGGAACAGTTTTTGTCACATTCCATAATCCTAAATATGTAGGAGATAATATCAAGGTGCAGCTATAATTGTAAATATAATTCAATGTATATATATAGTGTTGTATTGTTACTAGTATGAAAAGCCCAAAAGGCTTGTCGATATTGTGGCTTGACATGGTCAGCTCATGAATTTAGCTAAATGACATCGATATTCAAATATGAATAAAGATAATATCAATGAATTTAGTAATATGTATTTTAATTTCGTTAGGCACGTTCATTTGCAGTATAAGTAATACGTGAAATAAAACACACACATTATGTTTATATAATATCGCCAGTTTGTTAATTACTTGCATAGTTGTTTTACAACTTACTTTGTATAAATGTTTAAAAAAAACGCAGTATAGTTATTATGAGCTATAGTAAAATAATAGAGTTATAAATTTTGTTACAACATAATATAATTATTATTATAGCATATTTGCTGTGCTAAGTGCATAGTGCCTTGTAGGTTGCCAATTTAGTGCCTAATGTTATGTAGGATACATCGGGACAGAGAAATTTATTTATTTGTATAAATGTTATAATACAGGCTACATATTACATTCTCAATATCTACATACTAATGTTAAACCAAATAAGCTTGATTAGCTAATATGTATTTCTATGCAAACCTGTATTCATACAACAGACTTAATTTAATAATGGCATCTTTTAACATATTTATAAATATGACTTCAGTATTGATGTGGATTTAAATTCTTATTAGGCTGAAATAACCACCAGAAATCTAAAAATGAGCTAGTATTCCCACCGTAAAACAATCAAAGTCTCTTATGTTAAGCAAAATATAAAATAAACTATCTATTTGTGTACATAAAAAGTAAATAAGCAGTAGAGGTATAAATATAATAAGTGATTTATCTATGTACGTATAAATAAAGTGAGTATCACAAAATGTTTCCTTTCAAATTGATTTAGTGTGTAAAAATAAATAATAAAACATTTTGAATCATTTATATTACAATACTGATGTTGTTATGTAATGTAATGTAATGTCATCAAACATACATACTGTCATTAGTACTCACTACTCACTCAAAAATATGTTTTATTTATATTTTTTATATCATAATGCTGGCAATTATATAAATTTCAGTACTAGAAGAGAAAATATAAGTATTAAAACATTAAAAACTTGGTTTTATTGGATAATAATTCTCATTTCATCACAATATACAAAAGCTTATAAAACTTACATGACCTTACCAACTAAACAGACAATTGGTTTTAAATAAATTAAAATAACAAGTGTACTATTTTATTTTAAAGTTTGTTTTCATCAGTCCCAACCATTTTATTCAATAGGAGGAAGGAGGCCTATATCATCACACATTGGATGCAATTCCTGACTAAATATTATTACTGAAAATTTCAAAAATTGATCTTTTGGTCAAAAATTCACACAGAAATCTTAATAAGAGTAAACCTGATATATTTTTAAAAAATACCACATATAAATAAATTATCCTACTTCTTCAGTGTCAATATAATTAATATAGTTACATAAAAATTGTCTTTTCTCTAAAGCAGTTTGTACAATACTTGTGTTGATGGAGACACCATCATCACAAGCCACTGTTTCCTCTTTAACTTCTGAAGAGCCCTCATGTATCAATATGAAATTATGAAGTATACATGCAACAGATATAAGTAGTTGGACTGATTCCACCTTCACAATATCAATATGATTTAACTTCCTAAACCTCTCCTTCATTAATTCAAATGCATGACCAATATAGCTACGAGTTTTCCAATGAATCTCATTAAACTTCATCTCTTCACTTGTCAATAATTCCTCACTTGTAAAGGGAGTGATTAGATTTTTCTTTAATTTATACTCAGAGTCACCTAAAATATGATTCTCAAACTCAATGAAATTTTTCAACTCATGCGAAAGAGTACTCTCTTTGAAAACTCTATTTTTCCTAGTTTTGCCTATTTCACCAATATGAATGTCTAAAAACATTAAAGATTCATCACAGACAGCTTGTAAAAGAATTATTTCCGGCTTGTCCTTTTTATTTCTTTTAGATCCAACTTTAAAACGGCAGGCATCTATGAAGCCTACACAGTTAGGAAACTTGAACCTACTATTTACCTTGATCCTGGTTATATGCTGTTCCTCTACAGAAGGCCAACTAATGAAACTATATCTATGCTCATTAAGTATAGTAGCTATCTCATTAAATATATAGCTGACAGATGATTTATGCAGACCAAACAATTTTCCGATTTCATTATAAGAACAATCACTCACCATTAACCACAGAAATACATGAACTTTTTTTTCTAGAGAGATGTTACCAGGATTCACGTATTTCTTCAAGAAGTTTATGAGCGCCTGAAATTAAAATACAGATTTAGTTCAAACCTTACTAAAAATTTTTAACAAGGATTGAGAAGTCAAAAATTTTCTGTTGTGTTGCCTGTAACAGTGAACCTAAGTTTTTCGAAACTGAACTAAATATTTCATTAGAAAGTAAAGTCTTGATGAAAAATAAAAACCACAAAGAAAACTAAAAGGGTATCATCAGTTGGTAATCGATGTTTTTTATTCTACGTATGTAGTGTTATAAAGTAATTAATGACCTGAACAGTATGTTTCTTAATTTTGAACCAAGCTGAGTAATCTGCATCAGTAAAATTACGGACAGAATTTTCGTAAAATCCTTTTAAACGTCGTGTAACAGGTACAACACCGGGACTTTTAGTTTCTTCAGTGAATGATGTGAGATCAAATTCTTTTTCAACAGCAGTACCAAACATATTTAAATTATCATTGTTTTCACTAATAACATTGGCTGTAGCCACAATTAATCTGTTCATAGTACAGGCATGGTCACTGTCCAAAAACATGTCCATTATAAACTCTTTCTGAAAATTATTCATTCTTATCGACAACTTCTGTTATTTGATCGCTGAAATAAAATATAAGAAGTTCCCTTTGTTTATACCCAGACCCAGTTTGTTATGTTTACCGTTTCTACTTTTTTAGACAGTACAAACTGACAGTTTTTTGACAGACTACGATTCTCTACACTCAGCGTTCGGATGTTATAATCTGACAATGAGTTTCTTTTATATTTCGTTTCTAAACAGAAAATGAGATAACAGTTATTTTTAATTTTATAAATGTTGAACTATTTTTATTTTTCATTATTTAGTTGTAACTCTTACCTACTTTAATTTATTTCAACTGCAACACTTTATGCTGTCAAATCGTTACTTCCTTTCAACGTCATTCATTATTCATGTCAACTTCAAAATCTAATCAAATTTTCACTGCGTTACGCTCTACGCTCTTATTGACCGGTACGACAGAAGCAGTCAGTTGTTATAATTAACTAACGGGTTTTGTGCTTTATTAATATAAATTAAAAACAATCTAGTTTCGGAATAAGACTGATATTAAAATCCGTAAAATATTTCTATTAAAACATAAGGTTTAGTACCTACTTGGATAGAAAACTTATGTGTAACCACTTGAAACTTGATACTTAGTTAATTAACTCTTGATAAAACAGTTCATCAATATTCATTTCTTAAGAGTTTTCAATTTTATGCGATCGCGCTTAAAGCCAACTTCAATGGCTAAGGAGGTCGCATCTAACTTTTCTGGTCAAGAAAGGTATGTATTTAAACTTTACCATTAATTACTTTTCGTAAATATTGCAGCTAATGTTTGTGTCTGGAATTCTCAGATGGCATTTTGCATTATAATTTATTGTTAACTAGTGTATTAAAAGTAGGTAATCACGGTTCCTATACATTTTGTTAATTCACATTTCAGCATTAAAAATGAAAAATTAATTTACCCTGCTGCAACAAGAAATCAGGAACCAATTTTACAAGTTTTGAAGAGATTCCTTATCTGTGATGTTGATAGTATTGAAGATGGAGAAAGCCCATTGTTCTTGGAGATAGCATCTGGTTCTGGGCAGCATGTGGCTCATTTTGCTCCCCATTTCCCCGGAGTCAAGTTTCAACCATCTGATGTAGATGACAGTTTACTAGGAAGTATAACTTATTATGCTGAAAATTGTACAACTAAAAATATTCTTCCTCCTAAACTTATTGACATCTGTAACAAATTATCAAGCTATGGATTTGAAGAAAACAGTGTTGACTACATGTATAGTGCTAACATGATACATATAAGCCCATATGCATGCACAGTTGGTTTATTTGAGAATGCTGGTAGCTACTTGAAGCCAGATGCACTGATGATTACTTATGGGCCTTATAGTAAAGATGGTGTGATAACACCTGAGAGTAATGTCCAATTTGATGCATCACTCAAAGCAAGGAACCCTGCTTGGGGTCTGAGGGATATCACAGATCTAATTAAACTAGCCGAACAAAATAATCTCACTCTAATGGATACTATAGAAATGCCTGCTAATAACAAAACATTAATATGGAAAAAGAACTAAAGTATAGAGAGCTTTTATACAATATACATAATAGTTCATATAACATTGAATAGGACATGATGATACTGCCTTTATGTATTCATAATATACAGTAGTATAATATATTATATAAATAATATTTTGTTTCATTTTTCTTACCTTAACTTATGACTTATGATGGGCACATTACACACACCTAAGTAACCGCTTGACCAATGAAGCAGTCAGCTTGGTGACTGGTGTTTATAACTGGAAGTAGAAGTTATCTACTTTGATTGACAGAAGTAACCAAAACTAAAATTCTTGTGATTATTGGTTATAGAATACTGTTGTTAGAACCATCATCATAAAACTCTTATGTTATGTATTCACTGTGTATAATATTATTCATATATATATATATGTATACTAGTTATGTAAGTATATAGAGTATGTATTGAGTATTTTTTTTTTTATTTATCTTCCACCATATACCAGTATTATTATAATATTCTACATATATATATATTTATTTTAGTGTTCTTATTATTTTTAAATCTTTTTATCGTCTCAAAGTTCTCTTCTTGTTGCACCTACCATACTCTCTCTGCATCACCCTAAGGTTGACTGGTGAGAATGCCTACGGCATTAAGTCCGCCTATGTAATGTTTTATTGCATAAAGTTTAAATAAATAAATACCCGTATTGTCAGTTGTAATAATCATTACTTATCTTGAGTAAATAAATAACATTTTTTTTATGAGATTGTTTTGCAAACGAGCTTACCTAGTACCTGATGGTAAGCAAACGGCGCCGCCCATGCATACTCGTAGGTAATTGGAGGTTCTACAGGTGTGTTACCGTGTGTTGTCAATCTTTGGTGGGTTGTTAGGGATTTGGGATGGAGGCTTCCCAAATTCCGGTGAAGGATAGGATGTTACATAATTTTTCGGTAAGGATGCGAGTTTAATTATCTCTCAAGAATATTTTTGGCAATTTTTCCAACTGTGCATGTGCACTTGAAGAAAACACGATTGAGGCTCTCGCTCGATAATATATCCCAATCTATAGGTAACTATGATGACCTTTAGTTGATTACAACTTCTTGATACCTAACAGCCCGAAATATTTTTTTGTTTATTAGGTACTATTATTGAGAAAATAAGAATTACCTTACACAAACTATTCCCGAAAAGAAATATTTAAAAGTAACAATCATTTAATTGAATTCTAAAAGACCAATATCTAGGCAAAATTATTAAAAAAAAACTTGTTTATTGTTGTCAAACTTGTCAATTTCTCGAGCGAGAAGCAATTCAGAATTTTTCAATTTAGCATATAATTTTAGTTAATATATCTAATATTATATTAAGCATTACATCGTTAATTATTTGTATGTCGCTACTACTACTACTTTAAAATAAGAAAACACTTGTAGCTGGTTTAGTTTAAAAATGGCAAAACGACCAGCTTCGGAGGCGTTTGAAGTGGATGCTGAAGAAGTCCTAAAGAAAACTGAAGGAAAAAAGCACTCCTTAGATTCGGATGAAGAAGATAGCGGTGCTGAAGAGGAAAGAAATAATTTTCTTCATGCTGATGACATTGAAGGTGAAGAAGATGGAACTGGTGGCATGGAAGGTGAAGTGAGTACCTCAATTAATCGTTTAACTCTAAATATTATAAAAATATTGAAGTTTAATATTAAAACTCTAAGGTTGTAACCCTAATTGTAAGCCAGACTAGCCTCTGGAAATGCTAACCTAAAATTTTAAACTAAATGTTATGGTAGATAATATTTTACAGTCCAACTTCTGACGTTTTTTATCTCATCATTGAATCTCATTACATATATTAAAATAAGTTTTACTAACATAGATCTTAAGTATTACTAATGAGATAGTCATGTATCTCTAACAAAATATGGACAAAATAAGTCTTTAATCTAGCATTTAATTGAATATAATAAGGTTGAGGTGGCTCAGTCTCCCTCAACTTACACTTAATTACTCAATGAAATAGTTTTAAAATACATTGATTGTGTTGTAGATTACAATCACTCCATTCAACATGAAAGAGGAGCTTGAAGAAGGCCACTTTGATAACCAGGGTCACTATCATTGGAAAAAAGAGAAAGAGATTAGAGATGGATGGCTTGACAATATAGATTGGGTAAAAGTCAAGGGTAGGCCAGAAGACAAGTACAAAGTGCACAAAGATGATGACAACAAAGGACTTGGTGATGAATCCAGTAGTGAAGATGAAGAACCAGAAGAAAAGTTTGATTTGCTGATGAACTATAAAGAAATCCTTAAACATATGAAGCCCAAAGAAACAATCGCAAAAACTCTCCAACGTCTTGGTAAGTAAGATTGAACACTTATAGGTTTTGTAGTACAGCTGTTGATATTAATCTTATTATTTTTATTTGGTAATTAACACTTTTATCTTTTTTCAATGGCATAGATCCAAATTGAGAAGCTTCTTTTATATATTCACAGGTGCAAGTTCAAAAATATCTAGTGCTGAGCGCTGGAAAAGGAAAAAAGCTGGTATTGTTGATGAAAACAGTACAATTGTTACAAGACTTACAGAACTTGCAAACCAAATTCTTACAAAATTGGGTAACATGGACATTTACCAGGAAACATATGAAAAAATTGATACAATCATAAAAAGGCAGGAGAGTAAAAATGATGATGCTGATTTAGACATGTATGCCGATGATTTTGATCAAAAGGAAAAGAGTGTGTTAGATAAAAATAACACTGAAAATAAAGAATCTGAAGACAAAACAGAGGAGGAACAAGAACCTGAATTGAAGTGGGAATTCAAGTGGAATCAGAATGATGATGAAATATCTGGGCCACACACTACTGAGCAAATGCAGAAATGGTCATCAGAGGGGTATTTCAAAACTGGTGTTTGGGTAAGAAAGCAAGGGGAAGACAGTCAATTCTATACATCTAACAGAATAGATTTTGAATTATACATGTAAATCATGTACAGTGAACCTTGTACATAATGAAATAAAAGATAAATTAAACATAATCAACTTTTAATTTAAACATATTTCTTTCGACTTTTAAATAATTTACTCGTAAAACTATAAATACTGATATCAGTTAACAATTTAGCTATTTGATTAATTAAAACAATGAATAATGTGATAACTTGAACAATGACAAACTGTGATATGGAAGTACCAATTTCTAGCCAGCTTCCAGTGTTTTTCACATTGTACAGTAACTGTATACCCATTAAATTGGAATAAATTAGAACAATTATTATTAAATATCCAGTTGGTGCCTGAAATTTAAATGGAAATATGATTAAGTACCACTTAAAATAATCAAAACTTACATTAAAGAATAATTGCAAAAATACAATCCTATTTAGGAGAGTATTGCCATACACTGTTATGCTCATACCGAAAAAACGGGAATTAACCAGCCAGTACACTTGACCAAAAGGATAAAAAGTATAAGTGCTATTGAAATTATTAAATCAATTACCTTCGTTAAATATTGTACTGCTCTAAAACTACAAGCTACAGTCAAAAATGGCGCCAGCGTCTTCAATAATATCAGTGTAGTTATAATAAAAGGCTGGAATGATGTTATAAAGCATGTCACCCATCTCACTTCAAATGAGTTCAACGATGCAATGTTACCAGTCCCAAAAAAGGCTAATATTATATACAATATCTGATACACAGTGTTAAGGATCTTATTGATTGAAGGTTACTTCATAAACTATTGACGTTAGTATAATAAATAACGATGTTACAAAAGGATACGAAAAAGAAAGCTCTTCTAAAATCTTGACTACTAATTTCTCTTTCAATTGTTGTGATAGACTTGATTTTTTCATTGTTTTCATTTTCAAAGCTGCTTTCTATTAGCTAAAAATGTATTTAAAAGTTTGGATTAAAATACAAATAAATGTGATTCCTGCATTTACCAACATTCACACATTACTTAGTTGTGATGTCACATAATAATCTCTCTTAGAAGTATTTACCTTTGAATTCTTTATGTGTAGCAGCTTACTTTCGATGTATATCCAACACATCAAGTTCACTATCAATACTACTATAAATAGGCCTTCATGGGAAACAGATAACAAGAGATAGAAGTTTAAAATTGATGTGTTTATAGCCAAAATACGGCAAATCAGTCTTCTTGAAAATAGTAGAGGTAAAATTAAAGATGTACCTGTACAAAAAAAATGATTAGGTTTTGTAACTAAAAAAAAATCATCATGTATAGAAAAAAGTTTGTTCGGGATAATATGGATATTTACCTGCTATGCACCAAGCTACCATTTGGTAAAAATAAGACACAGGTGTGCCTTGTTCAAATCTCATGGATTGTACATAAATATTATGAAGAGATACAATAAGTAATACTGCTTGTATCACAGATAATGCTACTTCTGTTCTTTTCTCATATTTTCTCTGACATAGTGGTAATAGAATTTTATTAATATATAGCAAAATACAAAACAACCAAATAACGCCAGCAGTTATGCTGAAATAAATAATCTGTTAGTTTCTAATAATAATATTGAACCTACTTAAAATTAATTAAACTACTACAATACTCACACTAGTTCAATAAAAACACTTTTTCCAACAACAGGCATGAAGGAAAATGCACTAAGTAATAAGCACCCAACAGGCCAAGCAATGAGGATTGGTTTAGTTAAATGGTTTCTTGTTGAAGAAAAGAATGGCCATAAACCCATACCTAAAAGTGGTATGCTCAACATCCACCTATATGTAAATGACAGGCCCTGAAAATAATTTGTGGAGTAGAAAAGAAGGAATGATATTTCACTGTTAAAAAGCAAATTATGCTTACCAATGCTACAGATCCCATTGTATAAATTAAAATTTCAAGTAACAATAAACAAATATTTCTATTTCTTCTCATTTGGCTGAGTCCCATTAGCCAAAGAGATGTGGATGACAAAGCATACCACCACAAACAGTGAGGCATTAAGGAATATAAATAATACTGGACTGGCAAGTTTTGTGCTGAAATCAATGTTAATAGATAATTAAAAATTTAAGAAAAGTAAATAAGCAGTACTTATATACAGGATAGAGTAAGTAAATCTTACCATACACCAAGTAAACAGACAAACAGCATAAAGAGAAAAATATTATATTAATTGATCTGAATATTTTTGATGATGTCATTGTTTTGTAGTTAGCAGTTTCTTCATGTGTATTAAACTTTTGTTCAGATAATACTTTCAATAGACATGCAATCCATCCTAAAAACGACAGAGTGACTAGTACTAAAAGAGGTTGCTGGTAATAATTATGGTAGTATTTTAAACCTGACAAGCTTAGGTTTATAATTTCTTCACTCATTAGTATCAACTTTTCATATTCCTCTTCAGAAAGAAGTTTCTCAGTGAATTCTATAACTTCTTCATATTTCACTTTGCTAAATGGTTCATAGGGTTGATATAAGTATGAGATAGCATGTTCCTCCACATCAAGTCTTTTTTTATTGTACTGTGATGCTAATTGTCTGCTGTTGCTGTATATAGCTTTAGCTTTGTTAGGTAATGTCATATCAAAAATATCAGTTGTTAATTTTCCCTGAAATATATAACAATTATTTACACTTTTATTTATTTATTTATTTAATTATTTATGCACATCACACATACAGTAAATAGAGAACAAATACAGAGACAGAGGTACATAGGTACTGCATATTCCTATATGGAATCTCTTCCTGCAGTCCTTCGAAAGGAAAAATGTAAGAGACATAAGACACTGTGTGATACACTAAAACAACAGGAAAAAGAGAAATAGGAAATAACAAACAAAACAATAATTTAACCTAAGACTAAAACTAGAGCTACAGAAATAAAATAAAACGTATATATACATATACATAAATAATATACATATATTAAAGTATAACATATAATATATAAATATGAACATAACTACTCTGCACTGCAAGAAGAAAGGTAGTGTTCCTTAACAAAGGTTTTAAATATAAATATGGACTTAGCATCGCGTACGCTAGGCGGAAGGCAATTCCACAATCTTACTGCGTGGACAGAGAAGGAAAAAGAGTAAAAGTCAGTTTTGTGCGGTATAACAGAAAGAAGGGATTTGAGATGCGTTCGAGAAAGGACCTCAGGAGGCCGGACAAAGGAGAAACGTTCGCGAAGGTAACTGGGATAATCTGGATTATACAAGATATTGTAAAGGAGGCATAGAATGCGAGTGTTCCTGTGAAGGCGAATCGGGAGCCACTTGAGCCTCTTGCGAAATTCAGAGACGTGGTCATACTTTTTCAAACCGAAGACAAATCGGATACAGACATTTTGCAATCGCTCAAGCTTATTTAAAAGCTCCTCAGCTCCTCCTCCTCTCTCTCTTTTATATGATAGTAACAACACATCTCATTTGTTATAATGAGGATTTTTTAAGGAAAATCTAACAGAAAAGGTCATTCTTGAATAACTTACCCTAGAATTAACAGGTACAGGAATTGAGAGTATAGTGGACATGAGAGGAGACAAATCCACTTGATTGATATCCAGTCGGTGATCTAAAGACAATCCAACTGTTTCAGGGTCAACTTGTCTCATTTCTACCTGTTTTATACCAGAGCCCCATATCACATAAGGAGTTTTTGTTTCATCATCATCCCCAGCACCATGAGAGCCTTAAAAAACAAAATCTAGGTTCTTATTCTATTTTAAAACAGATTTACTTCAAAATTAAACTGATTTTGCAAAACAGAATATAATAGTAAGTATTATAATGCTTAGTGCAGCTTTGCACAAAGACTAAATGTGATCTCATATCTAAAAAAAAAAACACATTACCCCAGTCTGTCATGCCATGGTCAGACGTCATCAGAAAGGTAGTTTTGCCATCATCATTATAGTAATCTTTAATCACTCTTTCTATTTCTTGTATTCCTTCATCAACATGTTTCAATGTTGTTAAGAAGTTCCTGTAATAATATTGCTATATGTTTCATACTGCTTTTAAATGATAGGGAAGTGAAAAAGTCACCTAATTTTTACTTTATATAAACTTACGGTGTTTTTGGTTTATGGGTGTGTCCTGCGGTATCAGTTCCTAATAAATGAAGGAAGAAAACTATTTTGTTACTCTTCAATTTTTCTTTCAGTTTGATGTCATCATTAGCCTTTTGGAAAAAGATTTTAACATTGTCAAACACCCAAGCATCAAGTAGTGTGGTATTTTTATCTGTACTAAAGCTCTGGTCATAAGGGTCAAATTCATGTACCACAATATGATCATCAATATTGGCTTTGGTAAAAATATTTACGATGTCATAGGTACCCCAACACCATGTGTAAGAAGTTTGATTAAAAACTGAATCAAAATCTACAGGATTTTCTTTCCATCCCTTAGCAACAGCAGATGGATCTTCATAGAAACCAGCAATGACTGCCACATGACCAGGACGTGATTCTGTCGGTACTTGAGTGTTTGAGATTCCCCATCTGCCATAGGTATTTGCTACAGACCTGAAATCAAATGAAAAATCAAAAATTAATACAGGGCTTTTGTTATCAATGTTACAATGGTTTATATGGTATCAGCAAACATTTCAACAATTCATAATAAAGACAATTTGGACTTGTATGAAATTCAAATAGATTCGTAGAACCTACCTCAAATAAGGCATTGTCGTATAGTTAACAAATGATTCGGCTCTAAGTCCATCAACCATGAAAAGAACAAGTCTTTCAGATAAGTCTTCATGCTGGGGCTGATAAGGAGTCACATTTTTAACAATTGGTGATTTAAAATATATGTCAAAGATAGAAAATAAGAAAGTTACGTGTAAAAAAATTCCTAGAATAAACATAGTTATTGTATGGGACTGATACGGACGTAATTATGTTAAATACATTATAGTTTCTTAAACTTTTTGAAAACACCCAAAGATGTAAACAATGAATATTATTCCCAAAATCCCAATTGATGAATTGACATTGACAATAATTGACAATGACATTTAGAGCTTGAAACTTGAAGATAAGTAATATTCTTTAAAATGAATAGGCGTTACTTAAATGGGCTCTATTATATTATAGGCACACAATTGCTATATAGTAATATTATCCCAAGCATTATTTAAAAGTACAGCGAACGAAAACCTACTCACAACTACCGAGTAGGTGTAATACCCGCATTAACGAAAACTTGGCATTGTCTAACCAATTGGGTTTACTGGTGTAAACCTAATGTTAGCATTCTCATCTTTAAAATAAAGCAACGGACTTTGCTATTTAAAAAAAATAGATAATGTGATTGGTTCATAATATGTATAATAACATCCATTAAATTGAAGAGAAAATTAATATCAACTTGGCATCCGTGCGAAGCTGAGATGTGTCGCTAGTATACAATAATAGGTATGAAATATACCTACCTACCTTCATTATATGTAAATTAAATTATATGTGCTAGGAGTACGGTATTGCGTGGAAATCCAATAATTACTACCTAAAAGTTATATGTCCTGTTCCTTCGAAATTTTAAAAATAAATCCTGAGCTTTATTATTTCTAAAACAAGTGCCTAGGGTACCTACCATATAGCAGAGGAGCGCCAAGGGGCGCGTGCCCTGCGTGATCCTTCTTGACTCCTTCTGGCAAGTGAAATAGCCTTATAGCCTATTTTTACAAAATTAATTTTATAGTGGTGATTAATGCTCTAACCTTCTTCGTATGAGAAGAGGCCTTTGCTCAGCAGTGGGCACTTATAGGCTGATGATGATGATGAATTTTATAGTTGTTATCAATGGATTACATGTTCTTTTATTTTAAACTTAATATGAAAAACAGTTCACCTTAAACGCTCACGATTTCATGTCTGAGGAGTGTGCGTGAGGCCTTCCCATACAAATTACTCTTTGTTTTAATAATTCATTCACCGATTTTTTCATGTTCTGATAGATTAAAAAAACGTTGGAATTAGTTACTTCATATTTTGATAAGAACGTGAAACTTACTTGATATTGTTACGATTAACGATTAGTAAGATTCGCTTTTCCAACAGAATATTAGACAAACACAACTCAATAACCAAAATCAAAGACAACTTAAGTTACTTTTTACTTAACCATAGAGCAAAAAGTTGAATGAAACGATTCCAAATCTCGATCGTACAAACCGTTTTGTTTTGAAATAGGTACTACTTTGTTAGAGCAGTCTTAAAATATATTGTTTTATTTACTAATAAGTATTACACGAAATAAGTAAAACTGTGGCGTTTTAAATGAAAATACTAACAGATTTTGCCATTGTAAGAAATCTACCGCCATGGGGAAGGACTTTGACGAAATACGAATTGGAAAAATTGACGACTGTGAGTACATTCAAACATGTTCCAAGTTATATTGTTATTTTTTACTAAAAGCATCCTCCACCGACCCAAACATTATTTAAATCGTTCTCCCATCGAAATTTCAGGTGATTCAGATATTCGTAAAACGGGACAAGAAATGGACACCATAAGACAAAGAACAATTGCTTACGAATACCTGTGTCGATTAGAAGAAGCGAAAACTTGGATGGAAGCATGTTTAAGAGAGAAATTACCGCCAGCTACAGAATTTGAAGAAAATTTGCGCAACGGAGTTTATTTAGCAAAGTTGGGAAACTTTATAGCTCCAGACTTGCTTCCTATTAACAAAATCTATGATATTGAACAAAAACGGTATAAGGTGAGTACATATTTCTAAAATTTCCTTTTGGATTACTGTATTATTAAAATCAGATAGGTAGTCTAAATCTACAATTATGTCAATTATTCTTATCTACAATCAGAATTCTGTTTATTTCCATAAAATTCAAGGTTCTTATGAAAGCAATGCAATTTAATCATTTTATTTTTAAATATATTTGAACATAAAAAAGTGCCCATAAATGATACCCATATACAAGGCCGAGCACTGCTCTACCTCTCAAGATAAAAATTTAAGACGTCTGTGAAATCCTAGTCTTTTATTGTATCTACTTACTAGCTACTTCCGTGTGGTTTCACTTGCTGCTTGGCTCCTTTTGATTGTAGCGTGATGTTGTATATATAGCCTATATATACAACATCACGCTACATAGGGAACAATGTAGCCATCAATAAGTGAAAGAATTTTGGGAATCCGACCAGTGGTTCCAAAGATTACCCCCTACATACAAACATACAAACTTATCTCTTTATAATATCAGCATAGATTACTAAAATTAATTCATCAAATCCCAAGGGGACACCATTGTTTGCACCTATTATCCTTCTATTGTGTCTCCAATTACCATGATTGAATGTTGAAAAAGAACCATAAATAACTATTATTTTTTGTTCTTTACTACATGTTTCTACATCTTTAACTTACAACAATCTTGTTTCAGATAATGGGGCTTCAATTCAAACACACAGATAATATCAATAAGTTCCTACAAGTTTTAAAACAGACAGAGCTACCCATGGTAAATATACTAGACCCAATAAAAGTATTTTAGTTATACCCAGCTAACTACTCTCTTTGCAACAATATGTGATGTATTATGGCCTTCTTCAATAAATAGATTAGCATGTTGAAACACAAGCCCTTCATTTCTATTTATTTATTTGTAGTATTTAATATAGATTATGTGCTCCCCGGTTACAGACATTCCAGCCTGAGACAACTGATATCTATGACAAAAAGAATATGCCAAGAGTAATATACTGTATACATGCTCTCAGTTCACATTTATTTAAACTTGGCAAGGCACCACTCATCCATGATGTGTTTGGAAAAGCTATATTCACAGGTAAATATTAATAATAATCTTACAAATATTTCAAAGCTGTAATACTCAGTAAATCTCATTTGTTATTTTTATAAATTATAGATGAAGAATTGGATTCCATCTCAAAGGATTTGCAGAAATGTGAACATCCGCTTCCATCATTTCAAAAGATTGGAGGGATCTTATCCAAGAACAACAGCGGTAATGATGGTGCTGCTATGCATGATGCTGTTGTTGAACTGAACAACCTTCTGGACACTGACAAATCAATAACTTCAGCTATTCTTAATCCAAAATTGAAGTTGAAACATGTTCAAAATAGACTAATAGACGAGTACAAAAAAGTACTAAAATCAGCAAAATATGAAAAGATCCAGGCAGCCCTCAATCATTCACTCAATGATAGCTACATACCAGATGAGTATGATGAAATACTTACTGTTGTGGAAATACAAGGGCATATAACTGCTGTTAACTACAAATATTTGTGGAAAAAATTATGTTCCGCTTCTCAGAATGGTGATGTTAATACTTTAGATAAGATATTTAATGAAAATTGGGTCAAAACTAAGAATTACAATCCCCGAAATTTAGATTTCTATTGTGATGTGGTTAAAGAAATCAATGAATGCAATAAAGATGTTGATGTAGAAAGTGTTACAAATTGGCACAAAATATTTCAAAACATTATTAATGAAGGGAATCAGAAGGCAGTGGAGCATACAGACCATAAAACAGCTATCAATGAAGTTAACAGAGTTTTAGATGAAGGGACTCCTGATGATTTGTATGCAGTATTAAATAATCCTCATTTAGAATTGAACTTTAAGGTGAATAGGTATGCTGTACCACTTTTGTATGAAGAAATGAAATTGGAGAAGTTTGAAATGGAGAAGAATTTAAATGAGAGTGAAATTGCTGCTTCTGTGTCGTATCTGTTGGCGATAGCGTCTATTTCTGAAGCTGTGGATAGGGGTGATGACAGTGGTGTGTGGAATGCTCTCAACTCTAAGCAGTTACACTTGGAAGGGCTTCGAACACATTGCCGCCGACGGTACCTATCTGCTTTAGCAACAGCTTTGCAAGTGAAGATTAGAGAACAGTGTGCCTGCCCATTGCTCACCCTGGATGACATTAGAGACTCAATTGATATGGTGAACATGAAAGATGATGATAATGAAGAATGTAAGTTTAGTATTTATTTATTATTGTAGTTTAAAAACTATTAAAAACAATTTTAATCTGTTATTTCTTTGAATGAGGTGGGCATGTACTTTTCTTAACTTCTGTTTGCTAATGCTATATTGCAAACGTCATATTAATGCACAGCTTAGGGGTACATACACTAAATAAAAAGATGTCCTAAAAACTACGGCTTCGAAATCTAATCTAAATATTTATTTGCAGTGGTGTCAGTAATAGAACATGTCAACAAAGCTGTACTTGATGAAGACTCTGACACTCTAATGGCGTTACTAAAACACTCTTGTTTGAAGTTAGGAGCACCCTTACGAAAAGAAGAAAGTCATTTGTATTTACGTATGTTAAAAAAGATCCTTGTTCAAAAGGAATCACAAAATCTTTGGCTTGAAGATATTGTACAAGTTGTTCAAGAAGTTAATTCAGAATCTCAAAATGTCAAGGAGCTCACTGAATCGCTCGTTCAGTTAAACTTGGCAATCATCAAAAATGATGTAGAAGAGTTTTGGAATGCCCTAAGCCACCCTGTTCTGTCGACCTCCGGAATGCTTGAAAGCTCCTGCAAAGATGTCTATTTTCAAATGTTTTATAAGGCTTTAAAGAAAAAAGGTCACAATATTTGTCCATGGATTGTTTGTCATACAAATGCTGGTAATACAGTGTACATAGATGTAGAATCATACACTTATTGCTGGTCCACACCCAAAGACTTTGTTCCTTATGCTCGCTATTTAACAAGGAAAGATGTAAACAGTATAATTGAGAAAACCAACAAACATCATGTTAATAAATACATGCAGATGGTTATAGAAAATGCAGTGATTAAACTTCAAGCTTATTGCAGAGGATACTTGATAAGAAAAGCTCTCTCGGAAAGGCTAGAATTTTTTGAACAAAATGAGCAGTACATAGTGAAAATCCAAGCTTGGTGGAGAAGGGTCGTCATAGAGAGAAAATATGGAACTTTAATAAAAATGAAGGCTATTGAAGCCAAATTAAAGAGGGAAAGAAAGCAAAATCCATTGGCGTGGTATAAAGTACAGGTAAGCATCAAATTATTTGTCTAATTTATTATTTGGATTATGTTATATTTGTTCTCTTGTATACTACGAGATAATAACATTTTACAGGAACCAAAAATTATAAAAATTCAAGCTCTCTGGAGAGGACGTCGCGCGCGCGAAGCCTTTACGTCCTTGTTTTACTCCAACAACCCCCCACTAAAAGTAGTTAAAAAATTCATACCAATGTTAGATTTTTCTACTGAAGATTACGACAGAGAAATAGAGTTACAAACTCTGAAATCAGAAGTGGTCCAGTCAATAAGAAAAAATCAGGAACTCTCGAAACAATTAGATGATATGGATTTGAAAATTGGCCTACTCGTCCAGAACCGCATTGCTTTGCAAGAAGTAGCCGCCCATGGACTTAAGTTAAATAATTTAGTGAAACACAACTCTATGACGAAACTTGTTCTAGAAAAACACCCTGATGGTAAAGGCACGCTTATGACAGTGTCTACAGCTGTAAAAGGGTTAAAATCACTTACCAAAGAAAGTAAAAGGCTTTTGGATGGATACCAACATCTTTTCTACGAATTACAAACAAATCCCACTTATTTGTCAAAGCTACTTTTTTGTATACCACAGAATAAAACTAATTTCTTCTTACAAAATGTAGTGTTAAGTTTATACAATTTTGGCGCATATGCTAGGGATGAATACTTGTTGCTGAAATTATTTAGATTTACCTTAGAGGAGGAGATAAGTTGTAAAGTCGTCAAACCCTTCGATATAATCTCATCGACGCCATTGGTCCTCAAAATGGCTGTAAGTCTATCAAGACAACTGTCTGGATTAAACAGCCTACAAACTATAATTGGACCATTAGTGAACAAAATGCTTCAAGATAAAAACCTAAACATTGAAACTGGACCTGTGGAGATTTATAAAGCTTGGAGGAATGAAACTGAAATGAAGACAGGACAAATTTCGTAAGTAAACAAAGTCAGATGAAAATCTAACCTATTTAAAGAAGAACAAGATTAAGTTTGTATAAACACATCAAAATATTTTGCTTACAGAAAATTGCCTTACACTGTGAGTCAAGAAGAAGCTCTAACTTATCCTGAAGTAAAATCCCGACTTGAGAAAGCTCTAACTCAACTCAAAACTATAGTCACCATGTTTTTAGACGAAATCATAAATTCAACAGAACTTTTACCCTTTTGTATAACTTATATGGCGAGAGTGTTACACAGAGCTCTGTCCTCGAAATTTCCACACACACCTGATAAAGACATTCTGAAGGTAAACAGTTTTTTTTAACTAAAATATTTTTAACTTGTCTACTGGCTTCAACTTGCAGAAACTGGAAATCACGGAATTATAATACATTTCTATCTATGTATTAAAATACTTCTTAAGAAGCCGTGGCGTAGAAGATATTTAATATCTTAATTTAATTTTTTCAGGTTATAGGAAATCTCGTCTATTACCAGTTCTTAAATGCAGCAATTGTAGCACCTGACGCATTTCATATTATCAATTTACCTAATGGCACTGGGCTTACGACTGATCAACGAAAAAATTTAGCATCGGTCGCGAAAATTCTACACTTCTCTGCTGCAAAGAAAGGAGTAAGTAAGAATAGCAAATGGATGTAAAACAACGTTTGCAATGGAGGCCGATTCCCTCTACCCTAAGAAGGCAGTATTGCTTACTATCAGGTGACTTTTACGACGCTTTAGCAGTGCCGGTTTTAGGGTGGGGCGTGATGGGGCGATGTCCCAGGGCGACAAATTCTGGGGGGCGCCAAGGTCTGAAATTGAAGTCTCTTGCCTCTCCTGGCAAACCCTCAGAACTGTGCTCTACGCTCTGCGCATATGCATATTTATTATTGTGATTATTTTTAGATGGATTTTTTGGGTGTTTGTGGTTAAAGAGTGACTCTACCGATATCAATACGACCAGCAAAAACTAATATGATACTAATAAGTACTATGATATTTCTGCCTCAAGTGGGCGCGATAATATTTTCGCCCGGGGTGTCAGTGGCCCGTACACCGGCACTGCGCCTTAGCCCGTAAGGGAGTTCATATCTAATAACATTCATAATGTTTTATTCTTAGTTTGGAGAGGAATCAAGTCATTTGCGATGCTTAAATCCATTTATCGTGGAATGCCATGAGAAAATGAAGGAGTTATTCCGACGATGTTGCCGCGGGCCGACTCTTGAAGAATATTTTGCGGTAGACGAATATACTGAAGCCACTTTATTGCATCATCCACATATTTATATCACAGTGCAGGTGAGTACCTACTATAGTATATGGTATGATGTCAACAGCCAGTAACACTACGCTGTTAGATTAATTCGTTTAAACCCTAGGTTTCCTCCATATTTGGTTGTTAGTCGCTTTGAGATCGCAGTTTATAAAGAATGTGTCTAACTTACTCTACTCTTATGATACCCACAAAAGCATAGTACGCGGGATCTACGAATATATACTTCTCTGCCGTTAGATGATAGGTATGGTGTAGTCGCCAAATATTTAGCGAGCTGTCTCAGTATATAAAAAACTGCGACCATGTATTTCCTGTGTCCAAACATTAATATGTACTACACGTTTGCCACTAACGGCTATAGTTTATATTCATAAGCTCGTGACTGATATGGGCTCTTTCAAATATTGTGTGGTGTACATGAACATACGTTTGCTTTTTTATTTGATAGTTCGGCAGACGAGCAAACTGATTACCTGATGGTAAGCAATCAGCACCGTCCGCCGTAGCGGTTTCCGACCTTTTGGGGATTAAGGATTTCGAGATTTTGGGAATGAGAAGGGATTGGGAGGAGGGGGAGGATTCGGCCTCCGGTAACCTCACTCACACGGCGAAACACAACGCTGAGGTTGTTTCAGGTCATGCGTGCCGAATTATGGCTCTCCCACACTAAATTACGCTATAATTTTGGTTTTTCCGGACGACACGGATAGCTTAAAAACTAACGATCGAAATGTTATTTGTTCTTCTACGATACATTTATTTCGATTTACTTGATAGCGTAGTTTACTAATAAGGTAACACACATAACGCCTTTGAATCCCCTATGGGATAAGCAAATATGAAAATATACTATGCAATATAATATTTATTTTATTTCTTTATTTATCATATAAACATATAAATTATATTTTTAAACATTTCTTAAAAATAAAAATAAAAAAAACATTTAAAAATATAAAAAATAGTGTCCCACCGGTATCGGGAACAGGGTCCAAGCTACCGGCGGTCAAGGCTCCAGAGAAAGAAACCTCCTGACAATACGAGCCGTGTCCAGGAGTACCACTTTCTGGATCAAGCCCTTGATCCAGCCACCTAACGAGAGCCTCTTAAGGTGTTGGTCGAGGCTCTTAGCTATTAAGCCATTGGCTGACACGACTATCGGTACAATGACTGCCGAATCCACATCCCACATGTCGACAACCTCGCTTGCCAAGTCAATATACTTGATTAGTTTATCTTTCTCAGCTTTCACGAGGTTCTCGTCATGTGGGACGGCTATGTCAACAATCATTGCACGCCTCTCGTTTCGGTCCACCACCACTATATCAGGCTTATTGGCCACAATAGTCCTGTCAGTGATGATAGACCGGTCCCAGTACAAGGTGATATGACCATTTTCAAGAACTGGGTCGGGCTCATACCTGTAGTACGGCACTTCCGATCCCACAAGAGAGTACTTCAGAGCAAGCTGCTGATGGATGATCCTAGCTACAAGGTTGTGCCTATGCAAGTACTCGCCGTTAGCTAGACGAGAACAACCAGAGATTATGTGACGAATTGATTCTCCCGGACGGTGACATGCCCGACAGATGTCAGCCGTGCCGTCCTTCACAATAAATCCGGTAGTTATTCGTCATGATAACTTCGTCCATAATTGCACAGACAAACCCTTCGGTTTCCCCAAAGAGGTCTCCGGAACGCAGCCAGGATACGGACGCCAACTGGTCTACATCCGGCCCATGTAGGGCTCGGAAAAAGCGTCCGTGAAGCTCCTTGCTCTGCCATACTTCCCTGCGAGCGTTGGTGTCAAGTACGACCGGTTTACGCCAGTTCTCGCTAGCCAGGAAGAGCGGGGTGAGCCCCTTGTCCACTGCCACTACATCTCGATGCATACCCACGTCGGCAGCAAGGAAATATTCCCTGAGACTACATACCTCGCGGTTGTGTAGGGTCTTGGCATTTAAAAAGCCTCGACCCCCACACTTCCGCGGGATATACAGTCTCATCACCGACGATCGCGGGTGATGCATTCGGTATGCAGTCAGCATTGTTCGGACCCGCCTATCCAGGGCGTCAAGTTCGGTTTGAGACCAATTGAGTACGCCGAAAGAGTACATCAATACCGGCATGACCCAATCGTTGAAAGCTCGCACCTTTTTTCCGCCTGAAAGAAAGCTATTAAATACCTGCTTCAGGCGACCAAAGAAACGCTCCTTCAGCGATTGCTTCATGTCAGTGACATTGATGCCTAAAGCTTCCGACATACCCAAATACTTATAAGTTTCGGTTGTGGAGAGGGACCTCAGGTTTATGGAATCCGTGAGTTGAGTGCCCACAGACTCCACAATCTCCCCTCGTTTGACATGCATGACCGCACATTTGTCCACACCAAACTCCATCCTGATGGCACTACTGAAGGTTTCAGTAAGCTTGAGTAGCTCCATCAGTTGCAGCCTGTTGGGGGCAAAAAGCTTCAAATCATCCATGTAAAGGAGGTGAGATATAACCTGACCACCTCTCTTCAACCGGTAGCCTAGACCTGAATTCTCCAGCAATGTGCTAAGAGGATTCAAGGCTAGGCAGAACCAAAGCGGACTCAAACTATCACCCTGGAATATACCCCGCTCGATCCTTACAGTTTCGCTATTCGTTTGGATATGTCGACATCCCGGATAGCGAAGGACCGTACTCCATTGTCTCATACAGGACATCAGGAAGGTGCGTAGTATTGTATCGATTTTATACAATTCCAGCACCCTCATGAGCCATGTATGAGGGACAGAGTCATAGGCCTTCTTATAATCTATCCAACATGTCGACAGATCCTTTCGGGAACGTCGAACCTGTTGGCTAATGGTCATATCAATGAGGAGTAGCTCCTTAGTACCGCGGGACCCGCTCTTACATCCATTCTGAGCAGTTGACATAATGTTATTTTTGTCAATATGGCTATTTATTTTACTTCTCAGTAAGGATGTAAGAACTTTATAGACCGTCGGCAGACACGTGATCGGTCTATAATTTTTAGTTTCCGTAGTACTACCTGATTTATGGAGCAGGTGGGTTACTCCTGTTGTTAGAAACTGGGGCAGCGACCCTGACTCTAGGGCAGCCTGGAATTGAGATGCTAAACGTGCGTGCGATCTTGTGAACCACTTAATCCAGAAATTGTGCAGTCCATCCGGTCCTGGAGATTTCCAGTTAGGCAATGGACGGACTGCACGAGCAACATCTTGGGGGCTGATGTTAATTGCCCCCATTTGTGGTATTGGATCACACGCGCGTTCGACCTCCCGAATCCAGTCACCCTCAGTGTGACTGACAGGCACCGACCAGATACTGCGCCAGAATGAACACATGGCGTCATCATCCGGGAGGCGCGTGTCAGTCACACCTTGGTCCGGTCGCTCCCAAGCTCTATACACCCTTTCATTACTCCGGAATGTGCGATTCTGGGTGTATCGTTGAACCCGTCTCTTGTACCTTCGAATACGGTTTGCCCATGCATACACTTTCTGCTTCAGGAAGTCGATGCGCTCTGTGATCCGGGACATATAATCTTGGGGGCTGATGTCTGTCCCCGAGGATGCCCGTCTCACAAAGCGCATCACTCTAGGGCGAGTATTACCCTCCCTGAAGCAAATTAATTTGCCAATGAGTGCTCTGGCCCCGGCAATACGAAGCTCAATCCTGCGCTGCCAGGCCGGTACAGCTAGTTTTGGTCGTGTGGCTACGTTACTGGTTGGGAGTTTGACGTGAGCCACACGACATGCCGCTACAGCCGCGCAGTATATCATCGAGTGTGTATCACCGAGGTCTTCGCAGTCATCAAAATGATTAGACAACTGCGAATCCAGAGCAGCCACCAGCGCTTTATTCTTGTTATGCATGGGCAAACGAGGTAAGCGTGGTCTAAGTTCGGGTAACATGTAGCGATATTCCCGAATCGCACACTCCAAAGCACTCCTCATTTCGTTACTGCACTGGGTACTTACGTATGCAGCTGTGTCAGTGCTTTCCTCATCAGCGGCGGTAGGTACCAACAATACCGTGGTTCGACGGTGGCACCATCGCTGGCACCACGGTCCGCGACGAGGATGCACTGGTACGGCTACCCATTTCCGTTCGGAGGCGATCAAGTACAGTATCGTCCAGCATACGGTTACGCTGGATGACCCGCACCTGATCCGACAGTCGTTGAGCTGAAACGTTGACGGCTGGCTCAAGCACCTGAAACAGAGAGAGCATCCGAACACGGTACGCGGTCAGGTTGTTTCCTCCCTCTGTAGCCCCATAGTATGCGCGCATGACGTTTTCATTTATTGATTGCGTCCATCGCATGCGCTGCACACTTCCGCCGGCGGCTGGGACCCTATCAGAAGCCGGTGGGCCTCGAGGTCCTAAACCTGCCGGCGGCCGGCGTCCTCCCCGGCGACGCGTAGGTGGTGGTGTCGTCGGCGGTGACTAGTACTCGTCGCTGGAGCTCGACGCAGCTGCCGCGGCCGGTGTCTCTTCACTCACGAGGAGGCTGGATCCCGGCGGCGGCGAGGCGGAGCTGAGCGACGAGGCCGGAGGTGGTGGGCGTGCACGGCGTGCTGCGGCTCTTGTCAACATGGTCTCAACAGACGTCCTTTTTTTCTCTTTTTCATATTAACTATTTATTGTTCCGTTTTCCACATGTCTTTGTTATTGCTATTTTGATTTCCATATTCCGTTTGTATTTATATTGTTTGTCAGCCGTATTTATATTATAATTTAATAAAAATGTTTGCGAGAGAAAAAATTATGATCTGTCTTTTTGACATCGAGCCATAGATTCTTCAATATTTTATTAATTATTATATTAATAATATATTCAAGCTAGCTATCCTAGCTTTAATTAGTTTTGATATGATTTCGTTTTATGTATGTATTGCCTTAATAGTACGAGAGCCCACAACCAAAACCATGTCAAATAGCAATACGGCAAAAACCCTATAAAATTGTTAGATTGTATGATTCTGAACGCGACTACGCGTGTAGTAACGGTCGAAAGTGTAGCAACTGCGTGGAAGGCCATTTCTGCTGTGTCAATAAAAAAAGACAGTCGGTATTATAGCAATACGTCTGATAGTGAAAATGTACATAGATTTTATAATTGTATTACGAAAAAGTTTGTTTTCAGACATTTTGCGCGTAGCATATAGCCTGAGCGCATTTTTGAAAATGTCAACAAATTTAGCCGACCTGTATCATAGCAATACGGATAATTTTTTTTTTCAACTTTTCGTATTGCTGCCATGATTACCAAAAACCTGTTTTCAGACATTTTGCGCGTAGCATATAGACTAAGCGCATTTTTGAAAATGTCAACAAATTTAACCGATTATTTCAGTCCTTCAACTTCAATGTTACGGTTTCGGGTAAATTCTTTGTTAATTATCATCTTATAAATTCAGGGACGCTACGTATTCATTGATTTGTAATAGAAAATTCAAGATGCCTCAATACGATTTTTAAATGATATCTGGGTATCGAAAAGTTGTCTGATAGAGAAGGTGCTACACTTAATTTGTCTGATATAAATTTTTTGCACATGTGGACAACTTATTTTATCATGTCCAACAATTTCAGACATATTGCTATGATACCGATCGGTAAAATTTGTTAACATTTTCAAAACGGTCTCAAAATTTAATGCGTTCACATTTCCGTCTGATAATTGTTTTGTTCGCATCAAATAACCAAAATTTACTAATAAAAAAGATTTTCAGACGTATTGCTATGAGACATTTTTTTTGTCTCATTTTTTATTTTTGTAAGTGATTTTACGGGTTTGCGCTACACCACTAACGTCTGAAAAATATGTTTCTGGTATCTCAGATCTATCATTTAACTACAGTCTGCAAATCAGACATATTGCTATGATGCAGTTCGGTAAAATTCTTTGACAATTTTGAAAATTCGGTCAGATCAAACGCTACGCGGAAAATTTCTGATATTGGTATTTTTGAGTTCAAGATAATCGTATCTATCGATTTGATGCGGTTTTGGTCGTATTGCTATGAGACAAAAATTTTGGTAGTGGGCTCTCGTACTATAAGTTGAGCGCAGTTCTGCTAATGACAGTAATTCATAGAGAAGACCATTATCATTAGCACGTTTCCACCCACCGGCTTCTCCAATGGCACGCCACTGAGCCTGATGTTCAACTGTTCTCGTCCATCCACTATCAGCTACTTTCGGATGTCGACGGTCCGCCTAGCTGGAGCGCACCTACACTACATTAGCCTGGACGCAGTCTCCACAATAACTCTAGTTGAATTTTATTCTTATGATTATATTATACATTTAACAATTTAATTGTTTCTAGGAAATTGTCGATACGCACGCGCTGCTGATCGAGTACCAAGACATAATAGCGCCGGACCCTCGTGATAGGCTGAATGAGCTGTTGGATGATTTGGGAGAAGTACCAACCGTCGCACAACTTGCTTCCAGAGATGTTGATACGGTATGTTAACTAAACAACAACACTACTTAATCTTCAAATAATATAAAAATGAAACACTGATTGATTGTTTGATGGGTGGGTTCCCGAACTGTTTGGGATAGATGTAGTTTAGGGATTTTTTCACTATTTCGAAATTTTCAGAGAGAAATATAAAGATAAAAAAAACTACTTTAGTTCCGATCTTGCCTGAGTCAACCAAAATCTTGATTTAATTCTATTTCACATCATTTTTATTGAAAAATTCTGTCGATCGTTATCCGCAAGGAACACGAAAAAAAACTGCATACACTTTATTTATGGTAAATTATTTTTGTAGCAAATGGGAGATACTACTGAAGAAAATGCAAGGCTAGAAGTATGCCTTGCTCTTACAAATAAATTCCAAGCACCTTCTGATAATTTGACTGATTTAAACAAACTATTCATCAAAACGAAGGAGTTATGCGTGTCTATTATTCCATTTTTAAATGGTAAGTTTTATTATTTTCAAAACGTGTTTGTATAATATTTTAAAATAACTGTCATCCTTTGCCAATACTCTTTAAATCTATATTTTAATCATGAATTGATATTATAAACTAAATCGACTTTACAGCACGAAGTGCCCGAAAACAATTTCTTTTCATCTGACAGTCCCGACCCAGTGAGGGGGGCGCGCGCATTAAAATGGAAAAGTTTATTCCTATTTTTTTTTTTTTTTATAGCCTATCGTGTGTCCCACTGCTGGGCAAAGGCCTCCCCTTTTTCCTTCCAAATTTCTCTGTCTAGAGCGATCTCCGGCCAAGTTTGCCCCGCGTACATGATCAGATCGTCACACCACCTTCGCCGTGGTCGACCTCGACGGCGTCGACCTCCTTCTGGTGTCCAGTGAGTGACAATCTTCGCCCATCTGTCCGAGTGCATTCGTGCGACGTGGCCAGCCCACTCCCACTTCAGCCTGGCTGTTTTTTCTCCGACATCTGCTATTTGAGTTATGGAGCGCAGCGTGGTGTTTCTAACGCGATCTAATCGCTTAACACCTAAAATGCTGCGCTCCATTGCCCTTTGACAAATCTTGAGTTTGGACTTTTGCTGTTCAGTAAGTGACCAACTTTGAGCACCGTAGGTTAGGACGGGCAGGATACACATGTCGATGAGTTTTCGTTTCAGTGTCATTGGAAGGCTACCCTTTAAGTGATCTTTAAAGGCCCAGAAGGTCTTCCAAGCATTTTGGATTCGCCTTTCGACCTCCTTATCTTGCCTATTTTTAAAGGATATTATCTGGCCCAAGTACGTATACTCATCGACATATTGCAACACTTGCCCGTCTACCTCGACCCTACGTTTCGTGCTGTTGGTCATGATCTGGGTTTTCGATCTGTTCATTTTAAGCCCAACCTCAACACTTGCCGTACTCAGATCTTTTAATTATATAATTTTATTCCTATTAATATAAATAAATGTTGTTACTTTTAGGTGAACATCTTTTAGAAGCTTTATGTATTGGTACCACAAGAGAACAGCAAGAACAGTATGCTGGTAGAATACAAAGACGTATCTATTCGGGCCAGGCTCGACAAGACGAAGTAATGACATTGCGGGAGCATATTGCTAAGCTACGCAAAAACTTGCAAATGCTGGAAGACGAAGGGTATGTTACCCGAGAAGACGGATACCAAGCATTAGTAACTTCAATTGCACTCGACCTATGTAACAAAGGCAAATACAGACAGGCTCAAAGAAGAGCTTTAGCAACCCTGACGCGCACAAAACAAAGTTTGCAGGAAAAAACCAAGTATTATGAAGAGAAATGCCATTCTTATGATCAGTATATTAAGTCATGCCTCGCAAATCTTCATACTGGCAAGAAGTGAGTAATTAAAAGCGATAAAAATTAGAATAACCACCTTAAATATAAAACCTTTAATTAACGCTTTATTTATGTTTCAGGAGTGTTCATGCATGCCTTAGAAGATCGGGGAAAGACGTCCAAAAATTGAAATCGAAGTTAACAGTTAAGTATTCAGGCGCGAAACTATTAGAAAGAGGTGTACTTCTAGAAATCGATGGACTGTCGCCGTCTCAGTTCAAAAACGTTCAATTTGACATCACTCCAACTGATCATAATGGAGTATTTACCATAAAGGGTAAATTCATGGGAGTTGAAATGGAATCTGTTGAAGTGGACATACAAGATCTGCTTCAAAAGCAATACGAGGGTTGTGCTGTTATGGACATGTTTGGAAAAGCGAAAATTAATGTTAATCTTCTAATATTTTTATTAAATAGTAAGTTTTATGGTAAGTCCAATTAACTATAAATACAAATGAGGCGTCTTTATGAAATATTGGTGATTTTTTTCTCGTGATATTGTCGGTTTCGTGTCGCGAATGTGATACTTATTGCTCTCTTTGTTGGTAGGAAGCAGGTCAAATTAATTATGATTGGACACTTTTTCGTATTTGTAATGATAGTATAGATTCTTTAAAATAATAAGGTAATTTCTTAGTCATACATCATACTCTGTGGTTATTTTTAAATAGATTCGAGGCAACGTAAAAAGCCTAATAGTTTTGCCGTCGACGAATCTTCTTGAGGATAAAAAAATAGCTTTAGGTAATTTAGTTTCAACGTGACTGATTTGAGATTGACCTTTGGCGGTATTAATTAATTTCAATAGATTTAATAGTAACGATACATCGAGCTACTAAAAGTGATAATGTTGCCAGTACAACTCTATATTTTTCTTAACCTATCAAAGAGTCGCCATAATAATACTTGCAGTTTTCATGTTGACACAATCACAACCTAGCTTTGTGATTGTGTCGTATGCGACATGAACTCTATATTAATGTATTTAACACAAGTTTTCCTAATAAGGAAAATATTTTATTGTATTAATAATACCAAAAGTTCAAAATTTCAAATGAAGTATTATCATACCAAATATTTTTATGTATATATTTATTGACTACCTGTTAAGTGATGTTACATTTTTTACGAATATCATTGGTCTTTAATATTGTATGCAATTTCAACTAATATTTATATGTACTTATGTAAGATTTTAAAACATAGCTTAGTACATAGAACATACGATGTTAACATTAATTAAGAACTTTTTACTCACAATTATTGACCTAATACTTATTTTTAAAACTGAGGATTTTTACTATGTATAATACCAAAACTTATGAAATTACAAATGAATTTTACCTTTTCTACCGCCTAATATAATATAATTGTAATAATTAGCAATACAATTTACATATGTTCATGTTTATCAAATAAATGAGGCTCACCAAATTAAACACACAACTTGTTTTATTTTTTCTAGCAACTCCATTTGCTTCATATACCTAATACGAAAACGTATATGTTAACTCATCTATTCAACTCGCTACTATGAATACTTATTGTATCGTGTTCATGACAACTGATATGAAGTGCGACAGTGGTTAACTGTTAAATTATTTAAATTATCTAGGTACATGATTCATATGTAATAAAAATCATAGTTCTGTGAACAAAGTGACACGAAATTTTAATAAGTCTGTTTTCCTGAATTGGGGTGTAGTACAAACAGGACACTACAGACAGTGTCGACCTTTACATACCTATTGACAGGAAAAACAAAAAATATCTAATAATAGAAGGATTAGGGACAGGACAGTAGCAAATGTCTCTCTGCAACGAACCTGTCTGGGCATTATTATTTTCCTACTCTATCATACGGATCTAGGCGGCTAAGATCCAATTCCAAGACTTATTTTGAGAGAACAGTCACTAGACGGTAAAGCTCTAAGTACATAAAAAGAAACGGTTTTATTTCATATTTCGATGTGGGATGTTCGACACGAATCTACAGATTAACCGGTTTATTCAGTGAATAGAAACCGATTCTCCGCGAGTGGATTGGTAATGGTTTTGTTTGAAGTGTACACGAGAACAGTGTCGTTTTTATATCACATCGTATTATTATCACTGATAAGAAAACGTAACACGATAAAATTGGTATAATATTTTTTCTTTAGTTGTGCCGGTACTCGACAACATGAGATGTACGCGTTCTACAAAGAAATTATTAACTTTTATTGTTGGTGTACTTTTTGCGGTGATTTATTGTGAATTTATTATTTACTATGTTGTTGTTATGCAGGTAACTAAAGCTATCTTTACAAACAGTCGTTTATCTATTTAATACCTACAATACTACATGTATTTTTCAATTATTACAGTGCTCCTGGCCAGATATTAAAACGCCGTATAATGAATCCCAATTACTCAAAGCCTTCATCTTTGCTGATCCACATTTGTTAGGCCCACGTAAGGGTCATTGGTTGGATAAATGGAGAAGAGAGTGGCAGATGCACCAGGCATTTCAGTCTATTATTCTATTACATAGACCAGAAGCTATATTTGTATTGGGTAAGATATAGCAATAATTCGTTCTCCGAACTTGTATTAATTATTGCATTTTTTTTGTAGAAAACCTCAAAAAATGCCCATGGTCAAGGCTGCGATCGCAAGTCCAAATATCGACCATGAATTTCCAAAATTTTGCATTACCTGGAATTGTCTATTGTTATTTAAAAAAACATGTAGTAGATATTAGGTGCCTACTTTATGATTTACGATGATCATTGATAAAAAAAAAGTATATCTGCCTGTCCTATAAATAATTATCTGGTCAAGCTAACTTCCTAGTGTATGTACTACACGAGTTACGACTGTTATGATAAGGAGAATCGGTTTTTTACGCGCCTATGCCCAAAATACTCATCTGATTTCTATAAACATATTACATACGATTTATCTTTCTTTTATTATATCTACCTATCAATGAATTGTGAATTTAGCTCAAGATAATAATTGATTGCTGAAGATATTATTATATGAAATAAATAAACAATAAATACTTTTTTAATGTTTTAGGAGATCTTTTCGACGAAGGCGAGTTTAGCACTGATAGGCAGTTTGCAGGCTATGTAGCACGCTTCCACGAACTGTTCCCAGTGCCTGCTGATACGCAGATGCATGTAGTTGCCGGAAACCATGATATAGGCATGCACGATTAGTATGTATTAGTTTGTTATATTTTGAACTGTCTTTAAGATTTTTGCTTCACAACGAAAATTATTGAATGGCAACTTTCTTAAAATGTCGGTTGAAACCTTACCTTCCAATCGCAACTTCGGTCATGTATCGGCTCTCATCTTTGGTAAGGCTTGGCTAAACACCAGCGAGACACATAAGAAGACATTGAAAGGCGTGCCATGATGATGAGGATCCAGTTTCATTATCAGAACAGACTCCGGCAAAGAGGCTGTTCTGATAATGAAACTGGAGACGAACCTCGTGCACTTAAAGTCTGTGTTCCCTGAAGAGCGTCTTCAAGGCCCAAGTGAATAGGCCTGCTTCATGCTTCATCGTAGGACGCATCATCGCTTACCATCAGTCGTGGTAATGGCAACATGTCTGACTATTACTAAATAAATAAAAAAAAACCATACATTAACCTTTCATTGTGTCTTGAAGACACAATAGTAAGACAATAGCTTGGGGTTTGATTAATTAATTCCCTATGACTAAGAACTCTCTAAAGGTGCTAGGAAACATAAAATAGTGACTGGGTTTCAGATCATAGCGTGAAATGCATTTACACTCATTTCTTTTCTTTTTTTCTTGATGAAATATCTTCAAATGTCTCGCTCGTTCCGTCCAGAGGGTGAAGAGATAATGTATTGCCACGACACAGGAGAAAATCCTAATGTGGGGCAACGTTTTTTTTTTAATTTGTGTGGTTCCGAATATCCAATTACTTATCCCGCCCCGCATGCGGCAAGAGGGTGAGGTAGACTCTTACTGACTTAAAGCCATCCCGTCTTTTCCGGCCGCGGTACTTATTGGGCTTGCACCTGCAAACCTATATATAGATTATGTCCCCAGTGGTTTTCGCAGTTCCTTTCGTTTAGCCCCGTCCCTGCCTGAACCAAAACTGCTCGCGAAAGGTCGCCGAAGCCGATCGCTTTTATGGGGACAAGGCGGTGCTCTGTGCAAGCAGGGCACACCGCCACCCCTAAGACTGTGTTCTTGGGGTGTTCCACACAGAGGTAGTTCTAACAATACGCACTACATTTTACGATTCGAATTTAATTTGCCAGAATTTATGTTTAACAGCTTACTTACATAACGGCTTGGCGAGGAATGATGGAGAGCCAAGATATTATTGCTATTCACAAGCAGCATTGATTAACACGATGCGGCGATTTCCAATGCTCACGAAACTTTTATTTTGTATATATATTTTACCTTTTTCTGTTCTAGCATATCAAGACATTCAGATCAACGTTTTAAGAAATATTTCAATACAACATCAGTCCAGTTTATGACTATAAAAGATAACCATTTTGTTCTTATAAATTCAATGTCAATGAATGGCGATTCTTGCGATCTATGCACTCAAGCTAGAAATCATATACTAAAAGTGGCAGGTAATAAGAAAATTATATTAATTTACCAAAACAAAATGTATAATACACCGGTCCAGGTAAAAGTTTGATAAGGTATTTATACTTACAATTATTTCTATTGTTATAGGAATATTCAAATGTGCGCAAGATCCGAAATTTTGTTACGATGGCATCAAAAAAATTGAGTTTAGCAAACCAATTCTTATGCAGGTGAGTACTGAGTACCTGATACAGATTGTTGGCAAATGACACACAGTTGTTCCCATGAAAAATATTTATATAAGTTAGTGTGCATATCTAGTAACTACCCAAACCATAGAATAGGAGTTAATAATTTATTTCCATTCCAGCATTTCCCGCTGTACAGAAAGTCAGACGCTGTTTGCACAGATCCAGACGCGCCGCCTTTACCCGAACGAAATTACGAATTTATTCCGAGATATCACGCTCTATCTAAAGAAGGTACGGATTTCCTAGTCACTAGAGTGAAGCCTAAGGTCGTTTTTGGCGGGCACACTCATCATGGATGTCTACAACACCATGTATATGAGAAGCCAGAACATTTTGAGTTCGAAGAATATTCGGTACCGTCATTTTCCTGGAGAAATAGACCCAATCCAAAGTTCATGTTGGTGAGTATTTTTATTGAGTTAATCATTGGGTGACGGTGTGCGTTGCTTTGGGCTGACCATCGTCATTTTTCTCGGGGAAGCGAACCGCGGCTGCGACATCTCGCCCCTCCCTTAATTTAGGCCATGGCGCGAAGCGAGAGGAACTGGAAAGCCAACTAGTCCTCCTTCTGCGAATCAGTCATGCTAGCTAATGAGAGGCAGAACGCGTCGGGGATCGTGAGACTGTCTCCGGCCCCTCGCCTCGCAGCCAGACCCAAATGCGTCCCGCGCTTTCCTCAACGACTTATCCTCCCAACACAGATGAGAGAACGGGTTGGGGTTTTAGTCAGTAAAAGTCTGACACTCCCTCTGGTCTCACGCAGGCCGGGAGAAGTCAAAGAACGATTTTCCATCTGTATAAAAAAAAGTACAGTTGGCGATTTGAATTCTGTGCAGATCGCATTCTTACCTACCTACCATTCTGGTATAAACTCCATTTCAATCATAATACTTTCACCACTACCTCGTGAACGAGAAATTCTGCCATTTACTCAAATAGCTAGTTATTCATGGCTAATGAAGCTAGATGGCTGCGACCTTTGCAACCGCTTTTTGTATTTCGTACTACATATATTATTATTGTATTCTATATTTATCATGGTTTTCAGGTGTCGATAACGCCAAATGATTATGCAGTGCATAAATGTGAACTACCAAAGGAAACTACCATAGTAATAACAGGTATCATTATGCTTTTCGTCGTTATATGGTTGACTAAACAACGAAAATTTATTGGAAGATAAGTATGCGGGTTTAGTATTATAAGTAAAACAAAAACTTTGTAAATTAATCTCATGATTATATTTGACAATAAATATTTTGACAAGATAGAGCACTTTGTACAATTAGCAACCGAACAGTTTTCCTTTTCAGTTGTTACATTACAGACCTAGGTACAATTACATTTTAACAAATTATCACAAAGACCTATCTGCTAACATTAAAATAATTCAGCCGCCCACAATAAGTTATAAATACATTATGAAAGCACAATAGAGGTAGATAAAACATAGAGATTCTTTCATCAACTTAAAACAACGAATACTGATATTGGTAATGTAATTGGGAAGGTTCTTTTTAATACAGTGAAAACTAAACACATTATTAATTGTTTAAAAAAGTAAGTGGATGAGCAACCTTAACATAGTATGTTGTATATTGTACTTTTTTCACATAACAATGTTATAAACTATCATTCGCTGTAGTACCTAACACTTAAAACTAAGATCAGTCTATGAAACTCTAAAATGAGTCTTACAATTCGAAGGTACATAGTCTACTGAGCATTGTCACTTATCAGTACACATTACATAATTCCGTATCCAAGTTACCAAATAAAGGCACTTTACGACAAATTAAATATCTAAGGCCGCGTTTAAATTATTTTCACCTAATTCTACTACAGTCCTCTCAGGGAAGCATGGCCTCGTGTAAGCGCCATATACAGGCTGAGGAAATAGTTGAAAGAGGCAGTGTCCCATACATCTAAGCATGTACTAGTACAGTACATAACAGTCAAACAATTGAATATCTTAATACTAGCGTGAAATACTGGGTTAAGTTAATTCAGTTATTTGATTACAAAAGTAACAAGTCTCTCACAGATCTATTGTTTGGAGAATTTCAAAGCTTGCAGAGATTGTCTTTCCTTTGATCAGGAATATTTCGAATAAGGGGTAAACATTTTCAATGTTTATGTGAGACATATATCTCGCGTTTTGTTACTTATTTTTAAAGTTTCTTTCAAACAGCTCTTGGTAACTCATCAATAAAATTAGAATCTTAGAATAAAACAGACTCAACATGTGAGCAGGACAAAACCGTGGCCGGTGATGCCCTTCCTTATGTTCTATAAGAATATAATTTGTAATACTCTAGGTTGTTGCGTGGCGGGGGCCTGGTGGGGCAAGTCGTGCGAGCGAGAGCGCGCGTGGTGCGCGTGCGGGGCCCTGCCGGGGCGCGGCATCTGATTCTGCTTCTGATGGTATCCCGTGTTCGCATGTCGTGCCGACGAGCAAATCACCGCATGCAGGTAACGGTCATACCTACATAGATGTGAATCGCCGCCGCTTGCTAGATCTAAGTATCCGTTGCCAGAATTATCAGATTTCTTCTTTTGGAATGCATTTATTGGCTTCTCACTGACCGTGTAAGATCTGTTTCGAAGTTTCTGGTATTTGTTCGTAACTTCTTCTTCAATAGTAACAGGTTCACAGGGCTTTCTGTAATTGAAATAAAATAGTAGTGAGATATACGATACGATGCTAAAATCTGACTGTAAAACATTTATAGAACAACAAATGCGGTCTACATAAAGTATAGACAAGGTAAAAAAATACACACACCTTGAAGCTTGAAAGCTCATATGGTTTTTTTCCATGTTAGCTTGAATTATTTCCAATAATTCGCGTCTTTGTAAACTTCCAGAACGTTTCTTAGTGTGTTTTCGCTCCCGATGTTCTCTGCGAGGTTGACGATGGGCTCGCGATTGTACGTAAGAAGTTTGTCTTGGAGATCTGTGGGCAGGCCTTCTGTCTCCCGAACATGACGATTTGGAAGAAACGTCGTCGTCAGGAGACAATCTCCCTCTTTGCTCATCTTCGCTATGTTCAATGCAGTCAGGAGGCGACGCGTTAGCGGTTGTAGAACATTCTCTACGTCTATGCCGCCGGGCTTCTCGCCTTTCACGATGACTTCTACAATTACCGTCTTCTGGCACAACTGTTAACCGCACTTGTATTGTCTTTGACCCATAATGTGGCACTGTCACTGATTTCCCGATAGATTCGTAGATTGTAGACACGATACCAGCTATATCCTGTAAATATTACATTGTGGTTAATTAAATGTTCTCTTAATAAAAATATATTCTTGCAACATTTTACCAGAGACATTTTAAATTAAGTACTTACGTCCTTGGTCATACGTCCGTGCCCGTCTAAATCATATAGGGTAAAGGAGAACTGCAGCGGTTGCTGTTTGGAGTGTTCAGGATGCTGCAGTTCCACATCACATGTCAGCTCCTGGAATACGAAAATACATTCATTTTAAACAGATTATCCAGCAAACAAACTTTGATATCATTGACCGCATGAGTTTTCATTCAACGTTTTGACAAGGGAATATCCATGAAGAGCGCTATAGTATTCGGAGTAATCAGTGTTCGTTATACGGTTTCCTTATTGGATTACGGTCGAAAGGTTATGTTGTAGTAGATAACCCGGTGGCGCCGGACATAACACGCGTGGCGGCCGACTAGGCGGGCGTCCTCCTTATCTCCATACGCTTTAAAAGGAAACTAGCAATGCCTTTAGTTCACAATCAGCAGAACAAGGTAAAGTCGGTCCGCCCATTATTGCCTTTACCATATAACTTAAGGGGAATCGTTACTTATTCTACTATGTTTAATGCTTTCACAGATGACATCTTTCATAAATCACGACTGCGGTATAATCGCATGACTTAAAATCAATTCGAAGGACTATGTGCAGTGAGCAGAAATTGGCAGGTGATTCCAGTAAATCGACAAAAGGCCCCGAGTTACTTTGACAAAGGACGGGTCGGACACTTGAATGATGAACCAGTTCTCGTTATCAACTTTTTGGGTGTTCGTGCTGCTTTAACATTTCTTATTTAAAAACAATAAATATGTTAAACAAAAACCACTTTGCTCGCTAGTGGATACTTCAAAAGTTTTTTTAACGAAAAATTATTATTATAAAGGCGACATCTAAAATGCCGACGTTATAGCTGTTTTAAATTCGTGGTAATAAATTATGTAGATTGTAAAGACATGAATTTGATTAAATCTTAAGCCACGACTTGCTTGGTTACTAATCGCCACTTTCTAATTCCCATACACGCATGGGTGGCTGCCGGACGGGTACAACCGCAAGTAAAGCCGTTTTTTTTAATTCCCTTTTTCTTATACTATAAATGTAGTATTTAAGAAGTAAAACAGTACGTAGGTATAATTACCTCAAATCGTAATCTGGGGTGTTTTTCATCATTTTTTTCTGCCACTGGGGTGGGTGACGGTGGTGGTTTGTAAGATGGTTCATGGGAGCGAGGGGGCGGCGCTGGCGGTGTGGTTGGCTGCAACAAGGCACGAGCCTCACTTGGAAGCAGGTCAGGAGGGGCTGAACACTGGGAAGCTGCTCGTCCCACCAGCTCTTCCGTGTCCGTGCGCTCGCTTTCTGTACCAACTGAAAAATAAACGACATTGTTAAATTAAAATTCAGACTTTTAACATGCTCGCTTATCGTATTTCGCTTTCAATTTGTTCAAATGGACTCCATCGAAAATTGTAATGTGCACGCTTATGCTCCAAACGAAAAGTCCGTAGTAAATTATTTCTCACAAGTGGATATAAAGCAATAAAATTCACTTAAATGCATTTTGTATTTTACAAAAGAACATTCGAAGCGAATTATGTTTCGCTAAATGACTATAATAAATTCATAATGAGGCATGAGTTGCAAAAATATCATTGTGTGCGAATAAGCACAAACTAACTGAAGATGCAAGGGCCGATGTCAGTATTTTAAGACATAACATTATTTTATACAGTAAAAAACAAGACGTACCTAGCTATCATGAATAATTAATGAGTTGATAAAGAAAAGCTACAAAATTATGGCTTCTATAAAATTGGAATGGCTGTACGCAATAGCCCGTGGACGGGGTCCACTCAACAACAGGTACATACAAGGCTACAAAGCTTACATTGTTGTTTTATCTTCATTTCGTATTTCGTGCTATTTTAGTCATTGTAATCATTACTAAGGAATACAATACGAGTAACATAATGGGCAGGGAGAAAAAAAAGTTGTGTACCCAAAAGCCTGTGTCGGCGAAACTCAAAAAGTTTGTGTGATGCGGACCGACGACGCCGGGGAACGGAGACTCGGAGAGATGTAAACGACACAAGGTTACGGGGAGCGTTGAGACATTTCCTGGAAGGCCCCGTGAGTGGGTCGGCCTTTGGAACGTTTGGGATCCACCGTAGCATCGCACATCTGCCGCTAATGTTATTTTCTCAAAAGAGGCGGCATCTCTTTTACCCTCGTACTAAATTTTGTTTGGAAGTTTTATTTTTGCATTGTTCGTTGAAGTTATATTTTGTTTTTCATATCAAGTAGTAAAATTGGAGTAATAGAGGTGCTTCATTTTATAGGGACTCTTACTGTATTATTCAATCTAATAAACTACTTGGGTATAAAAAAAGATTTGTCTTTCTTAGAAATTGGGTGGGATTGAACAACAATGCATACAAGCAACCAGAAGTTTTTTGACCCTTAGAATAACTCGGTTGTGTTTAACAAATCATATCGTTTATAATGAGTCAGCCAGCTAGTTGGCATAAACAGTGTCGAGTAAGATGCCTCTTAATGGCTGAATTTTACGGTGTAACGACATTTACTGGAGACGCAATAATGCGGCTACTGGTAGCCACATTCCTGCACTGTGATTTAATTAGATTTAATATCGTTCCATTTAGTCCGCGCACAGCTTATAAGGAACTACACCATGTTAATTTATTCCACAAATAACCAAATGCTATAATAATAAAGTCCGATTTTAATGAGAATTCTCTAAGCAAATGCATTGTTATGATACTTACATAGTATTTAAAATATGTTTTTATTTATATCTAGAATTGTAACAAACTCCGAGTAGGGTAAATTTCAAAGAGTAATAAAGTAAAAATATAAATAAGGATTTTCTTTTAAAACCTAAACAAACAATTTAATTATTACATGTTATTTTTTTACTAACTACCTCTTTGGCTTTGATGTTGATCGTTTACAACACAACTGTACGGGAGATTATTAAAATGAAAGACGTTTTCTTAATGAAGTATACGGCTTACAAACTATTTTGTAACTATACAGAACAAGATCAAAGCGCTATTTATATTTGTTTGCTTTGAAGTAGTTTTAGTTAAGTAAGTGGATGCTCGGTTTCTCACATAATATAAAGAAGCCGAAATAAACTTTTATTTATTTACGACAGCCGACCTAATGTGTTAATTCGCTTTCATATGTGGTTAGCATCAAGATTAGCAATTTTAATTTTATAGTTGTCAGATATGAGTATTTTTTGTATTAAAAATACATTTACATGATTTTAATGGTCGCGCTGTTATCACATCTTTTTATTTGCATAAAACACGGTGTGATTGAATATAAAACCTTTACAAAAAGTAGCCCAAGAAACGTTTAAAACATGAAAACAAAATCATTTAAAAGATACAAGTAACGTGGACGCGGCTGTACGTGGGCCGTGCCTCGTAGCGGAAGGCAACTCGTCCTATTATTTGATTTTACTTTTTTTACATTCAATTCATGTTGCCGCGAATGAATCGCCCGGTCGGCGGGTCGTCGTGCCGGTACGACTGTTTGATCTTGCCGGCTTTTGATAACATCGTGCGAGATCGTAAAATCTTATAATAAGCACGATAAAAGTATAACCTTTACAGTTGTTAGTCACACAACACTGACTAACATAATTGAATAGATGTGATAAGTTCATAGAATGAATGTAGTATCTAAATGTGTTAGCGATATTATTAAATACTTAGGTAGATAGGTACGCAAGCCATACGCACTGCGTAGCTACCTAATGTTTATTATTATATCTAAGCTAGTCTGATCTGAGTGAGCAGTTTGTTTATGTTTTTCCTACCGAAACTCTTGTTAATGGTCAGACTGGTTAGTAGGTTCCAAGGAATGTTTTTATACAAAAATAAATAATCAGTTTGTTGAACTTGCCAAATTCCTGGCTACAAAAACAAAGTATGAATATGCTTGTTTTAAGCACTGCTACATACGACATAGGTACGTATTTTACTTTCTTGATCTTCAATATGAAATACAAAATATTCATTAACTATTCACATTGCAAAAGTACCTATCTATGTACCTTCATAAAAACTTCAATACTGAATCTGCCTACCAAAATAATCTAATAGATTCTAAGCAGGTGTAATATAATAATAATCTTTAGGTATGTAATGCATTGCTAGGTCAACTTGGGCATGTTATTATAACGTAAAATAAATGCTTTGATACTTCACAGTGCGGATTAGAAGGTAGGTAGATATAGCTTTCTATAGGTATAATAAGGTAGTTATTGTCAGGACACCCACCCACTTGGTAGTACGACTGGGTTAGCGATTTACGAAATTCTTAAGTCTGTTGTTTCCACAACAGTCACAATAGGTAGGTAGGTTTAAAACAATTAAAATTAAAACATTACACCTTACCAATTTTGTAAACACTGGATCGCCAGATGGCGTTGTTTTCAATGTAAACAGCATGATTTATAGAACCCTTCTTGCTCTATTTGAACTGCCCTTGACCGGTTTTTATAATAATATTGTGAAGTTTGCTATTCATATCACATTTATTTGTGTGTCTTTTGTTGTTTAGTTTGTTTTTTCGATAACAAGCATTTTTCCTGTTTTAAGCACCATCATCTACAACTCGGCACCGCTCAATTCATAACACGAACATAATGATTTAAAATATTTGATCACACGTACGTAGGTAAGTACGTATTTCAGTGTCAAATATCAGCACACGGTATATAATATTATGGAGGTTTGCGTCTAGTTGATAGTTTTAAGAATGTAACTTACTGCTAAACTTCTTGTATCCATTTCTAAACTTGTTGCGCCACCACTTAACGAAGTGGTGCGCCATGGGGGCGTCCGCGGCGGGTGCCGGAGCTCTCAACGTTTCGTAGCACGTCATGCGCTGCGCTCACGCACGCATCCCGTACACTTCAAAAGAGCCGCTGTTGTAATTAATTATATCACAAACTATATTTCTAATTCACTTGCACTTTATTTGGCCACAACACAGGACGTATAAGGATTCGACGTTAGCACGAAACCTTTGACCCAGTTGTCCGCGTGAATGTTGAGCGACGAGAGAAATCGAGCGACCGTCCCTCGTGCGTGCCGTCGAGTGACTGACTGATGGATGAAGGGAGTAGGGAGGGGCGGCGAGGGCGCGGGATAGTGCGACGCGGTGTGGCGGCACTGGCGGTACTAGCGGCTGGCGGCGCGGCACGGCGACTGTTGTGTCGCGATCGCGAAACAAATACCGCCTGCTGTCTGACAGCGCACAAATACAAAGTATTAGGCAACGTTTACGTGACAACAATAGTCCCTGATCACCGGCCTCTCAATGTGTCCCTGACGGGTTAACTCTTGGCCTTTGTTATTTTTGTTATGGTAAAAGCCTGCTACAGAATCTTTAACCGCATGTCTACTTTATGAACTAGGCGCCTTAATTTTCTTGTACCTGTGTAAGGCTGTGTTGTATGTAAGTCTGTTATCTGAAATTCTAACAATGTACCTACCTAATCAATGTTTAGGAATAAGCGCCAAATGCCAATAGTCTCCCTAATTACCAAATCTCAGTTTTTACTTTTATATAAATTTAAAGATAAAGGCTGAGGTTCCTTTAGTTTGTGTATCTCCTAGTAGGTACTATCCAATGTTACTCATACTTCGAATAACAAATACCCAAAAAGTACTTTCATTTAGATAAGGTGTATGAATAATTAACTCCCTGGGTGGATTTACAATATCGTCGATAAATAAATTTGAGGGCAATTACTATTGCCTTAGGGCCAAGTATTTAGCAGGTGATAATTAGGTATTCTTAATCTACCAACATTACCAACATCTAAAATCTAAATTATCTACCTGCCTAATTAAATATGTTAGTGTCGCCTTGTCGGCTACTTATGCGGAAAGCGAAGGTGCTTCCCAAGTTCCCAAAGGAATATTAATACGACATTAGCTGTCTAAAGACTGTTTAGACTTTGATTTTATGTCGAATAAATGAATACAAAAGTAACAAAAAACATCTTTTTATTCAATGCACCCAAGTTCTAAATTAGTAGACAGATGTCTTTCGGTATTATACTTAGGTCATCGTATGTTGTCTTATACTCTCTCAAGGTTTCGAAAATTCGGTCCCTTTGTTTCTTCTAATATTTCGTAGG